ACTGAAAAACAAAAAAAGGAGCGGAATGGTATGTGTACTTCACAGGATGAGAACCTGCTAGTCACCAACTATCACTGATGAAACCTTCGAACCATAAGAAAATGCCTTGCAATTGCGACCACCTTCAATCTTCAAGCTAGCTAATCAACCTCTTCGCACAAAACAAACCTCAAAAAAAAAACCCCCCAGAGAAAAAAAACCAACCTGTCCTGGTTGTTCAACTATCTAGCTACAAGACACAAATTCAAAAAAAAACTGTTTCCCCACTTTCCATGTTCCTCTGTTGAAATGCAGTGGTGGTGGTGGTGGTGGTGAAGAAAAAAAAATAAAATAAAATAAAATAGGAGAAGAAAACCACGGCTATATAGACTAAACTTCCACCCCCCTGTCTGCCAAGACTAGCAAACCCTCTCCCATTGAGAACATGACCTATTCAGCTCCCAGTAAATACAAACAATGTATGATTCCCCATTCTGAGTAAAGAGCTAACTAAAATAATTGTGAAGCTAAGCTAAAGATTTGCGAAACTAGCTAAAAATAATATAAGAAAGCAAAATCAAATTTCATCCGTAACAGTACTAAGAGTTTTCAAAGTGTAAAAAGGCGATTTCCCAGCAACGGTTAAAAAAGCACAGGAAGTTAATTACCCTGCTACATCGTGTTAGCGTAATATCCCCATGTTTCTGGTAGCGTTCTTTTAGTTTACCAAGGTAGCAGAGGCAAGTATGTAGATTATTCAGTAGATGTTGTAGGTACTGTACACCCATAGTTGGCCTAGGCAATTTGTGAGCAGTCATTTGCAGTATTGAAAAATCTGGCTGATTGATATACGAAAAGGTGGTCGGTTGTAGGTTGGTCACTCTTGTGAGCGTAAGCTGAAATGATCAGAAGGGTGATGATAGGAGGAGATGACAAATTAGTCCAGGACAAAGTTTATGGTAACCCCGCTATACAGTGGTCTTGCCCTGTGATGAAATGCTAGGTCTCGCTTCAGGCCGGTATTGCAAAATGCTTCTATCAAAGACTCCCATCTGTGGTATTTAATATGTAACTTAGTTGCCTCCCATATAGAATTATATCTAGATACTAGATCAGATGGACGGATAATTTGTTTTGACCAAAGCCTCATCCACCATCCTCCTCAGGAACCTGTAGTCTATGCGGCGAGCATATTCTAGGGAACACTTGTAAGATTGAGAAACTTTTTTGATATATCAAATCAAAACAACACCCAAACACAACCTTTAGGCTCACTAGGAATTAATATTCCTCCATTAAAACTAGGGCTTATCAATACTTGGAGCATAATACCTGCAACATTCACACTCAGGAGGTCAACTGTTTGGAGTGAGGTCTTCCTGCGCATTCAAGAATAGTATGATAGTAGAATCTATGATAAAGTAAGTTTAATCCAATTTCATTACTGTAAAAGGGTTTGAAATCTAAGCCATGATATCTAAGCCACCCAAGAACTAGCCTCATGATATTATTATGATAATAATAATTATTACCATCATGGCCGATATGATGGATTAAACCTTTATATACAAAAAGGCTTAGGACAAAAATTTTGTACCATTCATTTCTACTTTTTTCTCCAATCCTGGAAATACCCACAACCTGCTAGTAATCCTTCAACAATACCTGCATAGAGATCTGGTGAAGCTCTTTTTGGGAATTTCAACAAATTCTCAACCGCGCTTTGCATATACCGACCCCCCAGTTATTTTTCATTTATATTTCATGCATTTTTTGTTCCGTTGCCCTATGCACGACTAGTATTTCGCACTGTTTTTTTTTTTTTTCACCAGTAGATTTGCGAGGATCGGATACCATGGCCGTACCATACTCGAGTAGGGTACCGGTAAAATATTATTATTATCATAATTCAGCCCCCAACGCACCAATCTGCCCTTCCTGTCTACGGTCGATAACAAAAACACAAGCCCGCAGACGCCCAGCCTTAGGCGACGTCGATCAATAGCTCCAACCGTCTGGACAACTTGAGTTTGCAATGGTCTTTTTTTTTGGTCAGAGCCTTTAACGGGGTATCACCTGACGAATGCCTCACTATATAATTCTAGGCCCCAATTCCTCGTTCATCTCTTTCTCGTCACTTCCTCTACCCGCGTTACAAAGCTGAGATGTCCCTCACTACTTTACCAAATGAACTCATCGTCGAAGTAGCCGAGAAATTACAGCCTCACGATCTGACCTGCCTCATCCAATCATGCCGTCGGTTCTCCCAGCTACTCGTTCCTACGCTTCAAAAGTTTGCACTGAGCGAAAAGTATGCTTCCATTGCGCTTTTTTGGGCAGCAGCGTTCGGCAATGAACAACTGGTCCGTCGAATCCTTACGAAAGGTCATTCTGTCCCCATTATTCGGATGGAGTATGACGGCAGGGAGCTTTCTATGTCCCGCCTTACTTCCAATGACCCTGAAAAGAAAGAACTAGTCTCCTTCGCACTAAACCAAGGGCCCAACTTAGTTCTCGGAGATGGAGATGGTGGAGCACTCTACTGGGCCACCCGACACGGCTACATAGATATGATATCTATGCTGCTAGACCAAGGTGTTGACGTCCAGTCCAAAACCTTCGACGACGACACAGCGCTTCACGCCGCTGTGGCATGGGGAAACCTAGAGGCAACCGAGCTTCTGCTTGATCACGGCGCAGATGTGGACGCACGAGATGGCTCTGGGAGAACACCCCTGCACCTCGCAACCGTGCGCAACCACGTCGCTATATGGGAAGCGCTGGCCGATCATGGGGCAGATTTGTGCGCTGTGGATGGTCACGGTAGGACGATATCTGACAAGATTTTCCCAAGGAATGGATATTGCGAGGAAGTGGCCAATTCCTTTGTTTGGTACTCCACCTACGCGAAACCGTCTAGGCCAGCCGTCACAAGTTGCCAGGGAAAGTCGGAATACTTTTAACGTTTTCTGATCTCTCCTTCGTTTTCATTTTTCATCAACACATTCAAGTTGGTAGGGACGAAACCCGTTCTCCAATTCAGATACTCCATATGCTACGGTATGAGCGATATCCTGGAGAGAGATCTCCACGATGCGTCGGTTGATCAAGCAACCGGAACTCTAGAACACCTTCCTTTCTGGGGTCGAGAATGGCATACGTTGGCGGCTGATGGTGATTGATGGCGATGCGCGAGAGGGTTTAAATTTAGAGCTTTCCCTGCAGCTGAGGCGAAAATTGGGCGGTTCGGGGTTTACTCGTACATATTGAGCCATAACGCTCGGCGGCCCCCTCCCTCCATTTCTTTTTTCCTCTTTTCATCCCCCTACATTCATTGATTTGTCAGTAATATAATGTTTTTTGGAGGGGGCAGCGAGGGGTTCTACTATCCTTTTGTTTTCCACATTTTGTTCGCTTTTGTATTGGCTCACCGCATTGGTGCTACCATGCTTTCTTTTCCCCGCTATCGGAGTTAACTTGATAAATTTCCCTACGCTATTATAGTACTCGAGTATACAAGTACGAGTACAACCAAACAACGCTAATCTACTCGTAGTCTCGTTTAAAAACTCAAAATGTTGAGTTACTCAAACTAGGGGATTCACGTGACTTAGTGTTTTTCTCTTCTGCTGCTATCAAACTTACTCGGATCCATTGGATGTAGTGAGGAGTATAAACCGGCAGTCATGGAACGCTGTACTGGGGATATCATGTTCTCTAGGGGAATTGATTGGCAATAGGGCGAGGGGGAAAGTATAGTGAATGAGGGGCGGTATTTAGGCCGGGTTGCCAGATAGGGTGGAATGGGGCGGGGGGGCGATGGATCGAGATGGATCTATGAGATACTAACAGCAGGCTGGGAAGGTAGGAATCTGGATGGTAGGTAATGACGGGATACTAGCAAGATTCTTGGAGGGAGCGGATGCATTGGCCTCACTTCTCGACAGCGCTTGGTATACCAGCGATTCCGTCGGGTTGCTTCGATGTATACAGGCACTCCTCGAGTGAGTTTGGAAGATGGTGTATGCTTGGACGCGGAGCAGAAGTCGCGGGTGCGTCTAACGCTTTTGGCAGTGGAGACTTCGTCGAATCCATCAAGGTGATGATGCGAGCGACCTCGAGACCTTAGCACCTAAAAGTCATTATATGCTTTACACTGTGGACTCGGAGAAGAAATTCCTTGGGCTGTTGTTCATGGGTTCGAATGTCTAGGGTGGGGATGGGGCTATCATCAGGAAATACCAAACACTCCGGTTCAACACCTTAGAGCGTGAGCGGTCCGGCGATCGGGTGCTATCATTTTTAGTGTCCAGAGAGTGCGATTTTAGCAGTCGATCGGGAACACACTACCATGGGGTTCTGTAAGTCAGGCGGTGAGGCCCCCCTCCCTGGGCCTCTTAACCTCAAGGTTGGGTTTACTTGGAGGCCAAGGACTTGGATTCCGACTTGGGGTCATGGTAGGCCACTCGAGTGTTCCCGGTTTCTGCGGGGTGGAATTTCTGGTGATGGGGTATTATATATGGTGTTTATCGCTTTCCTATGTTGGTGGAGGGTTGTGGTGTGCAGAGGAATTTGCCTTTGGCCCTGCTGGGGGTGGGCAGTTTTTGGGACTTGCTAGCTCGGAGTTGGTACGATATCTCTCGGGAAATGGAGGTTTGATTAATGAATGTTTTAGGAGGTAATATATCTGTCCGTATTGAGCATACCTCTTGGCCGCATTTCAACAACCCCCCGCTCCCACCGGAGGGGGGGCACCACGGATGGGCTCGATGAGAGGTGTTTCAAGAGTTTGGCTCGGCTCTGTATTACCGGTAGGAGAATATCATTTCGAAAAAGTTATATCTTCATCCATTCATTACTGTTTAAAGGGTTTCCCAAAGGGCTATAGGTTATATAAAAAAGGAATGAAACGACACGAGCCGGAACAAATAAGGAAAAAATATATGCACAATCATAAACTGTCACTCAGAGCCCCCCATGATGCATCAATATCTTACACCAGGCAAACAAGAATTTCCCCTCTACCACCCATAACTCTCCTCGAAATACTGCACATGCTTCCTCTCCTGTGTCAAACACTCCACAACTGCATTCCTGGTAATATCGACGAGCACTGAAGGCCCACACGAGAGCACCGCCATCCTCCCCACCAACCCCTTCCTCTCTGCCGCGAGGATATCTGGGATATTCGGCCTACGATAGCGCACGCCGGGCAACTTCTTCTGCCCCTCGGCCTTCTTCCTCGTAACGTACAACTGCAAACTCACATCCTCCCGATTAAGCACACCCTTGGGGAACCTCTTGACAACGACATTCTCGACAAGCTCCTCCTCGCGCGCGGTCCACACGAAGACAAACCGGCGCGTGAGCGTGCGATTATCGGGGCCGGCTCCACGCGAGCGGTCGACAAAGTCGGCCAAATACGGGAGTATGGTGGTCACTCCTACGCCGCCGGCAATCACGACCGCGGTCTCGAACAAGTGCATGGGTCGATTAATCCCGTAGGCGCCTTCAATAAGGCACTTTATCTCCAACTCTCTAATCCTCGTGATGCCCCGGCGCCTTTGCGCTTCGTCGTTCTCGCGGATCATGCCCGCCAGCGTGGCCGTCATGCCTTTTCTCGGCTTTATCAAGAAGGTTAGTTTTGGCCGCGGCGGGCCGCGACCGTGCCCCGGTGGACGGTTCACGGAGCCGCCGGTGCGCGTGGTGAGGAGGATCTGGGAGAGATCTCCTTGATCTTCTTCGAGTTCTATTGCGCGACGACGGTTTTCTGCCTCTTCGCGTTGGCGCTGTTTAAGCATTTCTAGCTCTTTTTCTATAGACATGCCTTCATCTTCATCTTCGTCATCATCCAGGTCGTCGTTACCCAGCGCGAGTTCTAAGGCTAGTTTCTCCGGGTCCAGGTCGTCGTCTTCGTCTTCGTTTATGCCGCGGAGGTCAGGGACGTACTTCTCGACCGCACCAGTATTGATCTCCTCTGTGTTGGTGTCCAGCTTAATTTCGGGCTCTTCGTCCTTTTCCGCGAGGCGCTTGCGCCGCTTCTCTGCGCGTTTCTCGCGCGTTGCTGCACGCTCTTCACTGGTTTCTGTCTTGGAGTGGGTGCGTTTCGGCTTTCTTTTCGATGATTCGGGTCTTGGCGGGGCTTCTTTAATAGCCCTTACTGGCTTTTTTTCTTTATTGAGGGGGGGCTCTTTAGGAGGTTCATCGCTCTCGCTACCGGCTTCAGGAGAAGCAGGCCTCTTCTCGCTGTCTGGGTTCTCGGGTTGTGGGGTGACTGCTTGCCTGAATTTTTCAAGTTCGGCTTTGGCCTTTGCAAGTTCTTTTGCTTTCGTCAATTCGTAGATTCTTATCGCTTCTTTGGCTTTTGCTGCGGCTTCTTTTGCTCGTGCTACTTCCTGGGCTTTCGCGATCTTTGCTTTCGCTAGTTCTTTGCTGCGGGCTAACTCGGATTTGCTACGTTCTAGGCCGCCTCTTGGTGTGCCGATTCTCTCGATGCCATCTGCGCCCGGAGCATCGGAGAGGATGGGACGACCTTTTCCGGTGTCGGACACGACGAATATGCTCCCCTGATTCCCGTTCTGCTTGACGATGTATATGTTTCTTGACTTTTGCCTGTGAAGGTCACCACCACCACCGCGGAGGCCGAGGATCGCTTCGGCGTCCTCGATGTCCAGACCACCGCCGCGGAGTCCTAGGTCGCAACCGCGGAGGTCGTCGGGGTTTAACTCTCCGCCCCGGAGTCTTGTTCTATCTCTTGAGCCGCCTCTGCTCCTGTCCCTCCCGCTTCTACTTCTTTCCCTTTCGCTTCTGCTGCTCTTGCTCCTTCCGCTACCGCTTCTTGTTATACCGCTTCGGGCGCTTCGGGCGCTCCCACTTCGCGTCACTCCGCTTCTTCCACTGCCGCTTCTGTTAACGCCACTGCCACCGTTCCTCCCACTCATACTTCTCCCACTTCCACCCCTCCCGACCACTGCCCTGCTCCTCGACGCTCCACTTCTAATACCAATCTCTTTACTCAAGGACCCATTTAGAGAATCTGCCAGACTCTCGGACAACGACCTCGCACCCGACGGCGTCCTCTGTGGCATCCCGGTGAGCGTCGGTCCCGAAGGCCTCCAATCCGCAGCTGTAAACGGGTGACATTCCCAGAACCTCCAGCTTCCAGTCAGAAAGACGAAAAAGTGGGCCCCGGGGAAGTACCCCACGTCCTCCGCCGACGGGTACACCGTTAACTGAATGATGTCAGTTCCCTTTACGAATTTCGCCCGCGCGAGGTGGTGGTTTGCTGGGTCCTTGGAGAAGGCTCGGGCGTTTAGGATTATCACTCGGAGGAGGCGGGCGAAGCGGTCGAAGGCCCACATTGACACACAAGCCCAGATCCAACCGTCGTAGGAGTTTGTCTTGGAGAGTTTTAGGTGGCTTTTGCCCAAAATCATTAGTTCCATGATCTAGAAATATTGGGAAGGAACGGGGGCGTACTGGAATACGAAGACTAGGAACAGGGCTGCACATATGATGTGGCAGAAAAGAAAGAATTCGTACGCCTTCTTGCGGAAGGGGAATAGCGATAGGACGAGGATTACTCCCATCGTCGTCGTTGCCTAAGATTCCCTTAGCAATCACGACAGTCTCGCATGGTTTTGGCGGGTCGGGGTAAGACCCACAGCTATGCCGTTCACCCAATAGGTTTTGTTCCAGCCTCGTTTTTCGGGTCCAACTGTTTCCTCATTAGCCTAGCCCTACTAATGTCTCCACCTTCCGAGAGAGGGAGCACTATCTAAGACTGGGGATACCAACTTTGATACATATAGATCGCATACGCCAAGGAATGCACCACAGCCATCAACACTGCACACCTCGCAATCCACTTGTGAAATACGTGGAACATGGAGTAACTCCACCCCGTCAACCAAACTAGAAAATCATTCCTACCCGCGAGCAAGAAGAACACTGGTAAATTCCACAGCGCCAGCGTCCCCGCCCGGTCCCCAATGAGCTTCACCGAGTCGATACTCTTCCCGCCGAGGCCCTTCTGGTTTCGATTCACGACGAGGAAGATGATGTTCAGCAGCCAGTACGCCGCCACCAGGATTGTCTCTATACGTGTTGGGAAGGTGTACCAGCCTATGGGCTTTCGGTGTCGACCGCGGAAGAGCGCCGGGTATTGGATTGTGCGCTTGAACCAGTTTGATAGTGCGCTGGGAGGATAGGTGCGCCATGCCACGGGGTTTTGGGATTCGGAGTCTATGGCGTAGTTCATGCGGGCATTACGCACGGAGTAGTAGAGAGAGCGGACAATGCCGGTTGCGAGGAGGAGGGCAGGGAAGATATAGAGGTAGTAACTGGAGAGAGCCATATCTATGAGCTGGGGGGTTATTCTTTGGGGGGATTGAGATACATACCCAAGTTTCTAATTGTTGAGAAGAGGAAACGATTGATATGTTAACCATTGAATCATTACCTAGGAAACAGGCTTCCGAGAGGACCCGAGTGCCTAAGACATACCTTGTGCATCCGCGTTGCTGCATCATCCTCTACCTATTCCAAGTTAGCATTACAATCTTGACCTAGGGGAAAATAGGAATTATACCACCATGACTACGACTTCCAAAGTCCAGCTCTGCCAGAAGGAAAACAATAAAGGTTCAAAGAATCGAGTACTACTTCCAATTTAGCTCAATTCCCAGGAACCATATGGGGCTATTAAAGACCATACCCCGCTCGGGAAAGAATTGAACAGTTCAGAAGAAAGTATGAATGATCAAGAAAGGAAAGGAGAGAGAGAGAGAAAAGAGAAAACGGGTAGTGAAAGTATGCCGGCGCAAGGAAGTATATCGAGCGTCTCCAGGACCACTCTGTTCGCTTGCTAGGTAGCGACTAAATTACCAACGAGAGGACGAAAGTATTCGGGAGGAGCCGACGAGAGGAGAGAGAGGACGAAAGGGAAAACGAGAGGAATTGGTTTTTACTTATCTAGCTAGCACATGATACAATTAACACCCTTCATGTGTTCATCAAATGAGTAACAATGACCCCACGATAGAAATCAGTGAATCCAACGGGCTGTCAAGTTTCCCCAATGAGTGAACAAAGCCAATAGGGTTGGATTCTCTCCGACATGAAAGAAAGAATAGCCTCAGAATCCGCCTTCCTTTTGCACCGCACGTGCAATAGGGCGGGTGTACTCGACCAGATCGAATGGAATCAATGAGGTCGATGCTCCGCCACTACTAGTTTAAAGACATTCCCGCATCTTGTCAAAAGGGCAGTTTACGAGTACCGTAGTCTACTCCAGTAAACCTACCGGTACGGCTCTCCACTGCGGCCGTCCATACAATCCACACACCAGCATAAAACGTAGGACAAACATTGTGCCCCCCCCCCACCTCCCTTCCTCCGCCCCCTCACTTTACCTCACATCGGGGAGAGAGAGCGATAAGCTTACAATAATTGGTCGAACAACACAACCCACTACTGCAAGACGGGACGAAAAAAATCGGAAGAAAAAAAAAAAACAGTCAAGCAGAGGGAAGGAATGTGTTTCTATTTTTCCCCAGAATAACCTCTTTCCCCCCGTGCGTTAGAGTACTCGAGTACACTTTTTTTTCTTTCTTTTCTTTCAAGTTCTTAGTGTGATATGCGATGTGGTCGAACCTGAGTCGCCAGCGAGCCGACAAGTTAAAAAAGTTATCACAGTAGCGGTATAAGGTTATATACCCCCTTGCTCCACTTTCGTTTCCTTTCGGTGCATCTACACGCAGGTACAGTACACGTAGGTTATATGCCAACGTTTGGTTGGATTGGACATGCAAGTGATCTGTCATTCAAGGATCCAATTGAGCCGCAAGTTGCAGTAATCATATGACTACGTATCGGTAACTAAACCCAACACAAACCAAAACCCGTACTATAAGTAGCTCCAGAGAGGGACGTATAGCCGGAGTACTCTGCCAAGAAAACAGTGCTCAACTTTAACCCCAGAGGATTTTCAACCGCAATTACGGCTCTATTAGATGGTATAGAAGGTGATTCCCTGCACATTGATAGAGGGGAAATGGGGATTTCTCAGGTTTTCATGGAGATATTCGGGGCTGAGAAGCATGTCAAAATTTTGCTACTGGAAAGGGAAAGGGAATGTCTTGGACCTGTCGATTAGTATTAATTTCCTTGGCATGACCGTTGATAGATATTTGCCAAGGCATTAACCTGGAGGATTCCATTCTTGGCAAATTAACATACTAATCCTATGCCAGAATGAATGTCCGCATGCACCGGCTACAGATGTCCCTCACCGTACCGCACTCTCTTCGGGTGCTATACTCGACTGTGCTGGGGTAAGCAAAGCATGAGTACTCTACGGTACGGTTATTCGTAAAGATCAAGGAAGATTGCATGGCATGGTCTGCGGTGAGCTTTTCAATAACTGAAATAAAGTGCCAGGTGCCAAAAAGATTACCAGTACAGTACCATAACTCGGCACGGTAGTACTCTTTCACGGACCCCTCCGCCTTGTCTCGCCTCCCCACTTCTACAATACCTTCCCCACTCCACTCAACTGACCAAAGCCCTGACTCGATAGTGTTGTTATCGCACCATTCCGTACCCCGCTGCCCTTAGCCAGGGTCTGATTGACCGCGAATAAGGCCACCGTCCTTGCCACGTTGTCCCCCGAGTCCTACTCTTGGAAAATATCTCTATCTCCCTCCCTTCCTCTCTCTCCCCTTCGCGAGACACACATAACCCTGAGTAGCCTATCGTAAATGACTCAACTACACACACACGGGCGCCATCCCGGGAAAAGGTCATTCATGGGGAACCTTTCACCAACTGCTGATCGGTCACCTCACTCATCCACCTCGTTTTTCTCGTGTTTTTCGCTTTCATCGGTCGTCACTCGTGCAGGGTTAGGGTTACCACAAGTACCGCTTGTGGGTGGGTGGGGACATGCGGAACGGTAGTTCCCCCCCCGAGTCCCCTCCTTCCAACGGGGAAAAACTAGCAGACCGCCGTCGTAGGCTAAAAAATAAATTTCAATGTTCTTCGAGAATCAGGCCTATCGATTGATTGCTATTTTTGACGCTTTCTCGATGGGAAACTCTCCCGTGCCGATATCTATCTCCATGGCGTAGAGTGGGGGCTCGATTTCCCCAACTATGATACTAAAGATATTTTGCCTGGGGGTGCTCTTCTTTTCAGCTCCGAGTGTCATGCGGAATCACTCGCCTACCTGCTTGTCTCGTTGCCCTTTCCCATGCTGTTGGGCACAGCTGGTTGCGCACCGGGGGTTGGGATTTCCGTTGTCGCAGCTGTTAGCTGTTGTTGGCCAAAGAAAATGAGAGGTGCAGGTGGGGCTCCGACCAATTATTTTGGGGCTCTCTGGATGAATGTATCAGAAAGCGTTTTAACTCGGTCTTCTATGTTTGCGTGAATTGTCAGTAGGGTTCGCGTTACGGATTTGTAGGACTTGAGTCGCTAACTGTGTCAGCACTCGGCGAATGAGTTTTGGCAGCTTAAACGTAGATTTCTGGAGGCCTTTTCTCTCCCTTCTCTTTCCCGCTTTATTGGCGATCGTGATGTGCTTGACGCGATTACCGAAAGAAATGCCTATAGCTTGAACTCTCAACCTATCTTTGATGGTTGAGGCCATGGTATATTTTCTGGTGTTGGGTATAAGCCAGTGATTGTAAAAGAAATTCTCGCTGGAAGGAGGCGAACAAAATGGTTTTTATCGAGTGCGGTGATGTGCTGCTTAGAGTCCTGATCGTAAGATCTGGAAAAAAGACAGCCTAGAACTCCTCGATTTTCTTCCTGTTGTTGCCATCGGAGTCCATGAAGGTAGAGGATACGCCGTGCGAGGCCCATATGTCTATACTAGGGACTATGGGAGTATCATAACCATTGGAAAGTATAGAAGGGCGTTTGTACTCGGGCCAAGGTTTCAAGAGGAACTCCCTAATGTCGGAGCCTTCTCCGCACTTCACTCGTCGGTCATTCTCTCTAGCCCACTCAGGTGTGCCACAATTTAGGGGCTGTTTGGCTCCTCGTCATTTGCAAAGGCAGGCATCTCAATTCACGGGGTGGCAAACAAGCTTATCTTAATAGGACGATATTTCTTGCTTAGGCAAAACACTCGGCTCGTGGTTACCAACTCTTGCGGACGGTATCGTGGAACAAACGAGAGTTAGAATTTCACACATTCCGGCTCAAGTGCTAGTATCATACCTCCATGGCTCGTCCTGTGCGGTACTAGTACCGGGTATGAAGGGTAAGTCTATAGTATCGGTATGATACTCGAGCAAAACTTCCTCTGGTTGACACCAAGGACCTTCTCACCCACTCGTTTAACGGTCCTTGCTCTAGCCACCGCGCCAAGAGTTCTACAGACTTCTTTTCCTTCACCAAAAATTAGGCATAATTCTGCTACTCATCTGGATCATTCGCATTACACACCAAATTTCGACCAGATTTCCACAGACTTATGCTCACGCCCTACTCGTAAGGACACCCAGGTCCGTAAATTCCCCATGCCCCCCCTCAATAGGAAAACCCATTAACAACAGTAGAGCTCCAAGAGCTCCCCAGATAACTGCTTCCGGGTATGCATCTAGGGGCATTGTGAAAGGGTTTATCGCCGGTGGACCATTGAAAGGGAGGGCTAGCGAAGCATCTCCAAGGTCTAGCATTACACCGCTTAGAAGATTATGTGAACTTTGCGGATGTGTCCGTCTCTCCGCAACTTTCGTGCCCGGCCGGGTTGAAAATTGAAACCTCAAGTGATAAACTCGTGAGCACCACGACACACAGGGCCCAATAGTGGCCATAGTTTCGGCAAGGTGCTTACTTAAGGATACAACACATCATTAGGTATGATAGTGAAGTATATAAATGCCGTGCAGCAGAAAAACCTTTCACCCCCGGCACTTTTTTCATCCGAAAGCCTCCCTTCCCGCCAACAACTCTGAGCGAAAATTCTCTGGGAGCCCCAAGATATCATGGAAAAATTATTCGGTGACATTATGGTTCCTTGATTCTAAACACTCTCCTGCGAACTTTTAATCCTATCCATGACAAGAAGTGCCTAGCGATAAATCTTCACTTACTGGAAGAAGGAGGGATCCAGTATGGCACTATACCTTTTGGAACTTGTGTAGCTTGGCACGCCATTAGTAGGGAGGTTCGAAGTATGATACTAGGTATCATACAACAGCTAGAAAAGGAACCCCTCCCTTCTGACCATCGGTATACACGGCCATTCCTTCACTTGGAATACCAAATAAACAAGCTGTGAAAAGTCTAAACAAATAAGATGAACAATTAACTGGAAATGCTACAGGAACTTAAGCAGTCCTGGATGCCAAATCTGATCAAAGAAGCAAATATATACCATAACAAGCGATCTCAGTATGATACGTACCGTAAGTAGAAAAGTACGATATTGCGGGAACACAACAGGTTTTTTTTTATATCTTCTCTGTTGTAAGATTTGTGTCCCTGTAACAACTTTTTTTCCCTCTTAAAAATGTTTGAATATTTTAATGGTACTTTCAACCTTCAGGAATTGTTCTATGAAAGGGAGAAGCTTTTTTTTTTAGTTTAACACTCTTGGAAAGAAAGCTCGGATTTTAAAATCATATATATTCCAACACAATTAGAAGGTACTCTATCAGATAAGATAGTCTGATGACTATTTATTATATTTTGTGGGAATTTGTGATTGTCTCCTTTCCGCAGAAACGTACGAGTACAGTACTCGTACAGTGCCCATGTGCACTCGGGCCAGGTTCTGCAGGCAAGAGGAGGTACTCTGCAGTACCGTACACAGTCCTAGGACTCTTGCCGCCTCTACCTCCTCTACCTCCTCTGTAGTCGAGTAGGTGGTGATTTTGCTTTGGCCCGCGGGGGGGGGGCAGCGTTGATCCACACGTTGCTGTTGTGTTGGATTGTTTTCGGTCTACTCTTTCTCCTGTGAAGGAGGTGTTGCAGGGCGGCCTTCAACCCGTTTTGATTGATTGTACTGTAAGGTATTTTGGTTTGGTTTCGGTCGCTCCTGTTCTGTCCGATTCCTCAACTTCGGCCACGGAAAAGCGCTGGCACAGTACAGTACTGGGGGATAGATAGATAGATGGGTCTCTATGTTGTGTTTAACCGCCTCATGGAAATCAATGCTGTCAGGGTGAAGCCAGGTTGGTAAAGTCTCGCTAGTTAGCAAATATGCATTTGATCAAGAATACGGAACTGATTGCCATGTGGCTCAAGTCGCCTCCTCTAATAGGGTCTACTGCTTTTTTATATCTCTCGGAGAGGTGGACAGTTCTCCTTTTGCCGTGTATTTCGTTCCCTTCCTAAATTAGGAAGCAATGAAATACCGGTATGATACTATTAGTGCTGCACTTGTACTGTGCTTTAATAGCACATAGCACACAGTTCGATTATTTGAGTTCTTGGGACTATATGTCCGGCAAACGGACAGATAGCCCTTGTAATATACGGAATAAACTGGAATGTTACTGTGGGGAGTTTCATATATAAGATTTTTAGAGCTACCGAAATTGTTCGACTGGGCTAACGTGATCCTCATGGCTTCCGGGTATGATAATAATTAATAAATCTCTTGGTTTCATGTGTGATACGAGAGCGAGGCTTCCTGGGGCTTAAGTAATAGATTTATTAGTTTGAGCCCAGGGATCAAATCTCGGACCAGAGAAAAAACAGCTATAATTAGGACCCTTACATCAAGCGAAAATGCCTAGATATAAGATAGCTAGTAAATAGGGCGTTGGTCAACATCCTCCATACATGATATTATATGAAATGATACCTCATCAATAACTACCACAGGCGTTGGGCATCATGGTCTATCACCCAATGCCCCACCGGATCCTTCGCCCACACCGCCCCGTCCTAAACTCCCCGAAATATCACATCACCGATGCGATAAAGCAAAGTATAAGGAGTTCTCTAGAAAGGAACGGCCTTTTGGTCACTTTTCCTTTTCTCAGGGTTGGGGCTACCCCCCCAGAAAGGATTTCATGGGCATAAGGCCCGGGCCCCCCACTCCTTCCCAAAAAATACGCCCAGGGGCAACAGACTGGAACATTTAGCAAATAAGATTGCCCTACACTGAACATGCCGATATCGGTGCACCCAGAAACACAGTACTAATGTCACTGGGGGGGGGGGGGGCAGTGGTGGCGATGATATTGTTAATCGTGGGAATTCAAAGCGTGGGATTCTGTTCATTAGGAAAAATAAAATCCGGCACGTTTGGCGTGACTAGGCGCTCTAGAGCAATTGAAGCCCGTCCAGCTAGTCAGCAAGCACCAGCAAAAGCGCTCCCAGAGAGACGCGGCGAGTGGTATCATAAACTGGCTTGATAAAACGTTTAGCTTGACTTATAAGCTAGTCTATTTAGTAGGAGATACACCCGCGCAAATGACCGGAGTGTCTTTTGATTCTCAGGCAATTGTATCAAGAATCAAAAACCAAGCTAGGAAAAAAAAAAGTTAGACCGGAAGTACTCTTTTCCGGAAAATATCTCCAGGAGGGGCTGGAGCCCCTTGGGGCGATTGGGAGGCATTGAAATACCGGTAATGCAACATGCAACACACGAGAGGCTAGGGAAATTCACAGGGCTTCTTGCTACCTGGCGAAAGTTGTCGGGTGTGTACGAGTACAGTTCGCCACCAAAGCGGGGGGATGTAGAAGGTTTTTCGGGTGAGGTTGTTCCTATGATAAATTTGTCTTTTCGTTTTCCACCTGGACGTTTTAATAGTGGCATGATACGGTGATGGCACTTTCCTCACTTGAATCCTTTGATAGAAGCTATCGACTAGAATGATGATGGGGGTGGCCCTAGACCTATAGCTACTGTTTGTGCCGAGAACCCACAAATTTCAAAGGAAGAACCATATTTGGCTTGAGGTATGATAAGTATATGGTATTCTCAATCGTCATGATGATCACAAACTTTTTATAGTTGTCTGTGAACGTGACTATTGTATTGTCATCTATGAGCAAATATAAACCCGTTGAAGTCTCAGAACTATGTCTCTGTTTCAGAGACAAGTCACGTTCACAGGGGCGCTACGGAGCAACGAGTACGGTAAAGGCTATCACGAGTGAGATACAGTGAGTAGCTGAATGATAGGAGTCCCCTGTGGAAGCATCATTGCACCCACGAAGAGGAATTCGGGTAATATGGTAATTTAGCGGACCCGGAGTCAGAGTAGTAGGCAGACAAACCAGAAACCTCCTGGCTTATGCTATTATTCGGATGTGCACTTGTCAAGAACCCCCATCTCTTGGTTTCAAGGCGTTCGAGCTTCGAACAAGGAGCTTTGCATGATGAGGTATCATACCCAGACCCCTCACCTAACTGTCATAGTCTTCACGAACTCGAGGTCCTTTCGAATTCCCGGGCTTCCCCATCAACTGATAACCCGGATAATCGCTGGAAGAAATAGGGAACTCGTATCCCTACCAAATTAGCTGTTATTCCCCCAGCACGGTTATCTAGTGAACTATTCCGTTTAAAGAGCCCGGACGCTAATTATGAAGTAAACAATCCTCCAAAGCACCCAATCCCCCCTTCCGACCCTTGCTGCGGAGTTGTTGGTGTCAGGTTTTATCCCCTCTCCCTGACGCCCTAGATACCAAGCCCCAATATCCGTAAGTTTCCCGGCGCTATTGAGCATCGCTCCGTTAGGCCCTACATTACTAACATCGCTCCTAAAGCTTCCGAACCAGCTGTAGTGAGTAACGTAGTCCAGACGGTCAAGATACTTGAGGGTGGCGTTGAAGAAACTCTGAGTAGAGGCACTGTCGTGAGAATGATTAATTGTGATCGAATGACTGGGGTAAGGCAAGGAGGAGGGACACAAACAGCGGTTGATCCGCCCACCCCAACTCTGTAACCCATATGGTCTTATTCGGAAATGTTGCGCGAACTTCGCCAACGTGAGATGCGAACCCCTCGAAATTCCCGTACCAGTGTATCGGGATGAAATCTACTGAGCATCCATTGCATGCTTTGAAAAATCTGTCATGGCGCAACCATCTCTAATTAGCCGTCCATCCATCCGATGAGCCGGTTAAAAGGAGATAGGGGGACAAACTCCTTCAACCACCTCATCCCAGTCGGACTCCCACTAATACTGGGGGCCCCCAGTTCCTTTCCATCCCCCTTCAAGGGCTCTATATCCCTCTTCCACAATTCCGCCGCTCTCTCAGGCCTAATGTTACTCCCGCCCACATTACTCCCCATATCCGGTTCGTTGAAGCCAAGAACCCACTTCACACCCTTCTGCCCGCGGACGTCGTCAACGAAAGTGTTACTGTGGTCACCCCAGAGCATCGGTACGAACGAGAGGTTGCCCGAAGAGAGTGACGATGAGGGACGGGAGCCATAGTTATAATACCATGTCAGAGTGGTGGGTGGGGTTATCCATATGCTGTCATCACCGGGGTGGTCGCTCGAGGGGATATGCACAAGGCCGCGCTTCGAGGATGTGGTTTGCGCTATGATGGTGGGAGTCAACAAGAGGAATAGCAGCGGTGTGAGGAACATTTTAAGATGGGGCGGGAAGTAACTGGAGGGATGGGGAGGAGAGTTAAGGGGAGACCTGTGGGGTGGTAGGATGGGATGTTGGTAAACATTGCGGACTGGCTCGGTCTCTTGGAATCGCTTGTGAAGGTTGATAACGGGAGGCAGGGCTTGAGTCTTGTACGACAATGCCGGTACACAAGGCGCCGGGAAGGGATTTGCTAATGTTATTTTTGGTGGGGGAGGCAATTGATCCAACCGTGTCGTTGTCGAGAATTCCCTACTTGTACCGGCACTTTGGAAAAGGGGAGGAAAATACCGTAAAAACTCGAATAAGCGGACCATGTGCTAGGTAGTCCAAAACTTCCTCCTGGAAAAGGGCGAAAAACACACCAAAAGACCTGATCTTCGAGACAAATAAAAAATAAAAAAACACCAGACCTTGCTAAGAGAGGCAACTCCAACGTCCTGGCACATGGTCCGCTTATTCGAGTTTTTACGGTATAGCAAAGAAAAGAAAATAAAAGAAAATAAAAGAGCTGGGCCCAGAGAGATGAAAAGCGAAAAAAGCACCAAACTTTATGATACCAGAGGAAGCTGTTCCAACGACATAACACTTGGCTCAATTATTCGAGTTTATGGCACGCCGATGGGCAAGGTGGTGGAGTTTGCCCGGGACCGGATTCAGTGCCCATAGGCTACAGGAAGGAAAAGGTCCTGGCCTGGCGCATGTCAATCAGGTCCATCACGATCAAGCGTATCGAATACTATCAGTCTACCCTCCAGAATCTTGTATCACAAGGGTCCGTACTCCTCCAGTTAAGTAAACCTATTAACTGATATTGACCATTCTCCTGAAGGTCAATGTAAACTTCGAATCTAAAACTCGAACAAGCGTAAGGAGAAAAAATATTTTGCGGGAGCCATTCTTAGAGAGCCTGCCGTCCCGAGAAGTCAAAATCTATCTAATGGCACCTCCCCGGGTATCTGTGCCTACCCGCTAAAGCATGAATATAAATTGTATTTTCCTCGAAACGCTAACATGAAAAGATCACGTACGAGTACAATCGCAATAACTGCTCGCCAACCTTCCATCAAAATACAAGCTATCCGATCTCCGAATCAGCCCAAACGCCACCATGCAACCAACCCAGTACAATCCCCATTAGGGCACTACCTCTGCTCCCAGTTCTTAACAAGCCTGTAAACCTCATCTGTCTCGCTATAATTGGCTGCCCACTCAATCACATCCGCCCCCTCATCATCCTTCGCTTTTAGATCCGCTCCATTCTCTAGAAGCAACTCGATGGCCTTGAGGTCTCCTCTAACAACTGCCCAGTGCAAAGGTGTCTGCTCAACACCATTCCGCTCATTGACCTTTGCCCCTCGATCTATTAAAAGCTTAACCATCCCGATGTTGACTTTTCTGTTCTTCGGCCGCTGCCGTGTTCCTGGTGCGTTGAGGGTTTGCAACGCGCTTTTCATGTCACTTGCGATAACAGCCCAATGGAGAGCTGTCTGCCCATCCTCATTCTTGGAATCAAGATCAACGCCTATGTCTAGGAGCTGGTTCACGATGGGTTCATGGCCTCTCCAGGAGGCTATGAAAAGGGCTGCTGATCGAACTTGGGGATCTGTGAATCTCCCCAAAAGGAAACTTACAATTGCAGCGTGACCGGCGAATGAAGCTTTATGTAGCAGTGTTGAGCCAAACTTGTCCGCTTTCGGCTCCCCCTTCTCCAGTAGTACCCTGAGAACTAACTTGAGACCTTCTTCTGCCACCCAATGCAACAACGCTGAAAGAACATATGTAGGATCTGGGTCATTAGGAATAAGCGGGAATATGTTATCGACTATCAAGGAAGCAATTGTCCTGTCGTTCTTATATTCCGCCCATCGAAGGGCCGTTTTTAAAGTATCGATCGATTGATGTGGGGTTGGTTTAAGAGAAGAAAATAAGGCGGTCTTTGCTTCGTTTGCGCACCAATTTTCAAATAGTAGACACTTCCTTTGTGGAAGCTCCGGAAAGAAACTGGTTGCTGGTGTCTCTTCGAGATATATTTCAAGTAAAACCCTGATCGCTAGTTCGTTTCTGCCGGAGACGGCATAATGCAATGGGATTTTTCCCAGTGAATTCTTGGCTGAAGGGTCCAAACGAAGATCTAGAAGCATTAAAAGCAACTCCTCGCCGCCAACAGCAGCAGCCGCGAGATGAAGTGCGGAATCACCCGCCGCATCAGAGGTCTTGACATCAGCTCCCGCTTCAATCAGCAGCGTTAAAACCTCACTACACCCTGTTGCTGCAGCATCCAAGAACACTGTTCTACCCTCGTGATTCTTACTGTCAAACTTTGCGCCCTTTTCTTGAAACAGCCGCACCACTTCTGTCTGCGAGGCGACTGCTGCCTCGTGCAAGCTCGAGTTCCCGGCCATGTTAACAGCTTCCATCTCTGCTCCACCTTGCAATAAGATTTCAACGACAACAGTGTGCCCGTTTTTTGCAGCGAGATGTAGCGAACTGTTACCAGCGGCATCCGTAGAACTAACATCTGCTCCGGCGCCTAGGTATATCATCACAATCTCACTATGGCCGAGCGACGCGGCGAGGTGCAGACCAGAAAGGGTGTCCCGGACGAGTGAGTGAGGAGACGTGCCGGATTCAAGGAGCTGATCGACAATATCCGCACTACCAGCGGTAATTGCAGCGCACAAAGGTGTCACTACGGAATTTGTGATACCTTCGCCATGTGCGGGTGGGGAAGTGGCAGGTACGTGGGGAGAACTGGCCATTGTCTCCTCTTTAGCTACCGAAACTTGCCCCGCCGAAGGGACTGGTGATCGATGTTGGGGGGAATCTGTTACCTCCTTCCTCGGAGGTTGTGTTTCTGGATTGGGCTCCATCGGATCTTCTGGGTCTGGGCCTTTCGGACCCGTTGGCTCGGTCGGAGTTGGCATTACGGCGGGAACCACAGGCGGCACCGCAAATACCGGGAGTCTAACACCTCCGGCTGGCGGAGCACGAGCCGGCGTTGGAAGAGGCGAGAGGGGTACCGAAGAAGGTAAAGGGTTAGGAGGTGCTGGTGTTGCTTCATTAGTTTGCGGAGTTGGGGCCGGAATTGGTGCTCTCGCGGTCGCTGGTGGTGGGGCTGTTGGCGGAGGCGAAGCTGTAGGGACAGCAAAAAATGATGGGGTTCCCACCCCAGAAGGTGTTGGGGCAGCCGGAGGAACATGGCCACCCCGCAATTGTCCAGGCGCCACTGCCGGGACCAAGAATACTGGAGCACGGGCACCCAAAGAGGGTGGACCCGGTGGCCCTCCCGCAGGTAATGGGACCGTTGTTGGCACTGCAAACCTTGGATCACGTACCCCTGCACCCGTAGGTGCGGCTGGCGGCACAGGAGTTCTCGCCCGTACAGGAGGCTGTATGGGGATCTCGGAGGGTTCATAAGGAGGTGGCTCGCACGATACTACTGGCACTTCAAATACTGGACCTCTCACTCTTGGCGCCCGTGGAACCGGGGTGGGGGGTGCAGGAGTAATGGGTGCCACTGAATGAACCGGGGGGCCTCTCCTTGTTGGCGGCGCTTGGCCTGAATTCATCGGTGGCACTGAGAATACTGGAGCTCTCACTGGGTGAGAAGATGGTGGGGCAGGTGGGGCAGGTGAAATAACTGTCGGTGGTGTGGGGGCTGGAGTTGGAGGCATCGCTGGGACAGCGAACACAGGCCCCCTCCTTTCAACTGGTGGTGGTAGTGGGGCCCTTCTAGGAATTGGTGGAGAGGGAGATGGACGTGGGGCTGGGGGCAGGACTGGTGTCGGTGCCGAGACCGGCGGCACTGAAAACACAGGAGCCCTTCTAGTCGCAGGGAGTAATGATGGGGGAGCGGGTTGTGTGGAGGGGATAGAGAATACCGGGGCCCTGGCTGCGGGTGATGCCGGATTTTCTGGTCCGGAGGGTGGAGCTTGGGGTATCCCTGAAGGCAGTGAGCCAGATGATTGCTGGTTCGTATTGCTTTGAGCCTCGGAAGGGCTTGCTAGAGGGCGAACACTTGATGAAGGAACCTCTGCTTGTTGACTCCCATTCAGAAACTCGGTGGCCTCTATATCTCCAAGTAATGCTGCAAAATCCTTCGCTTTTAATCCGGGTCCCCGAACTCTCACCTTCTTCTCCGCCACATATCCGGCTTCGAACCTCATTCGCAGTTCCCTACTCTTATCACTCCGCTTCATGTCTAGGTGAACCTGATCCATAGCCTTAAAGACCGCTATCGTGGGCGCTGAATAGCCTTGTCGTTGGATCCTCTCAATGAGCAGTCTCTCATAAGCCTTGATTAAGCGTACATATTCCCTGGATATCTCACGGGAAGGCTTGATTGCGCTTAATAAAGCTTGGCGACGAATCTCGAGCTTATCTTCCAACTCTTGTAGAAACTCAAGGCGAGAACCCGCCCAACGGAAGGCTTTGACTTCATTTGTCCTGCCGCGGACATTTATAATATGCTTTTTAACATTGTTATCCGCCGCTAGTGCTGCTCCCCTAGCTCCTGAGGTATGTCTATCCAAGTATTGCATTAGCATTTCCCCGCAACTTCAGAAGAGAGTATATACCCGTCAGCTGTTTTTAATATTTGCATTTTATCACTGTTCCTGTTGATGTAATCCTGAATATAATTCTGTAAAAATGGACACACACTTAGCGGTCCTGCAAATAAGATAGATACTTTCTTGTTAGTCGTGTCAGCCATAAGCTTGAGATAGTCATAGATCTTCTTAAAGCTTGGCTCGAATAGTGACACCAGATCATCGACGGTGAGGTGCATCGTCAACGACACTATGTAGGGCGGGGAGTCAGGGGCATTGGTCCAGGGCACTTGAAAGCGTCAATTATATTATGGGAGAAAAATTGGGGAAATTCGTGGTTCTTACACCGGAATTTGTATGGCTTCTTCCCATCAAATTTTGGAAGGAACTAAGTGAGTGATTAGTTATGACTCGTCTGTGGCTGGAGCGATAATACCTTGTCTATAAAAGTGGCTTTCATCTAAAAACCAGTCAGTATGAAAAATCTTGCCGAGATGTTTTATCCCTACCTTATCTAGTTGAGCAATAACTTCATCGGCTTCAACTCCCAACTCTTTAATTGTGCCCTCCAACCTCCTCTCCATTAATTCGACAAACCTCATGCCAACATCACTACTACCGCTCAAAAGGACATCACATCGTTTCGGAACCAGCTCCATCACAGGCATCACAGAGTCCGTTGAATAATGGCTAATAGTAATCATTTCCTCCTCCATATTGCATACTGTCAATAACTCCCCATTGGCTATCTTTACACCCCTCGTGCGAGAAAGATAATGGGCAAAGCACGCTTCTGGTTCGTATAGTAGTTTTGTAGAGAGGTTCTCAGGGGTTGATAGAAGGGCCTCGAAAGGTGAAGAGATGGTATCTGTCCACCAAGGAGGTATTGTTATGATTAACTGTATTGGGATCTTTTGTGATGCCTCTGTTGCACATTAGCCGCGTATTGAAGACGGGAAGGATGATAAATACCAGCGCCAAAAGCCAAAGCAATCTTCTTGATAATGTGTGCTTTTATTGCTTTCAAAAATCCTAAGAGATGCTCTTCATCAAATTTCTTCTGATCTGTCTCCCTATCCAAACTCCAGCTTCCGTGGGTGGTAAAACCACCGTTCTTAACGCTCAACTCTTCCAGGATATTTTGTTCTGTGGCCGACCCCAAGTTATTTGCTACTTTCCTAAGCTATGGAATCAAAAAAATATTTCTAAAACCCTTAGCTTAGGGAACATACAAACTCAGCAACCGCTCGCATTTCTCGTCCGGTTTGAGTTGGTAACCCCATAATGGCTCGGATAACCCGTCGATTGCTGGCCTAAATTTTACCGGCACGAGAGCACATTTTGGATCTTCTGCTCCTGGATAGCCAACTATCACCGTTGGTTGAGTGTTTGTATTCTTATCTCATCAGTCCAGTTTCAATCTTCACGGTAGTTCTTGAGCCTGGGAAATACCTTTCCCGACAACAAAAACGCGGCGGAAGCGGAGCCTGAGCCAAGTGATATTCCAACCTTTCATCAAATTAACTTGATTCTCTCACTCAGCGCGGGAATGATTTGCTACTCACGAGAATTCTCTGCTCTGGATTGGTCATGGCTAATGGATTAATTGATTGGCGAATTGATAAATTGATAAACTGATTGATGAACCGATTGCTAGAGTGGGAATGCAAAAGAGGCTATTGAGTAGTTCAATACCGAACCAGCATCGAATCGGGGGGGGTGAGTAAAACTAGGAGTTAGTGCTTGCTTTTTATGTGTGCGGCTGAAGGCCTTTTTTTTGAGACAGTGTGGTACTATCCCTTGTGCTACAGTGCCTGGTTCGACATAAATACCGTAAGGTTGTGCTTTGTTTTTGGGTTGAAATTGAATCACAGTATTTCCGCTACTCAAGAAATATGGCGAAAGGAAAGATTATCGTGAGTTCCCTAGAGTTCCCAATTGATTACCCTCCTGACACTAAATGAAAACAGTGCGCAATTGACTTTGGTACAACATACTCAGGGGTTGCCTACGCCTACTACCAATCGGGCATGGAGGTCCGTAACAAGATCCTGCCTTGGAACAAGGATGCTGATCTAGAAGCCTTCTGAGGTGGATGTAGAAATCATCGAGGATCACTGGCCCGGACAAGGGAACCAGAGCTCCCAAAAAGTTCCTTCGTAAGCTAACCTTACGACCCGAGAAACGCACAGCTAATTGCTTTAGGGAGTTCAAATTTGACTCCTCGGCGCCTGGTGGGTTCAGGTGGGGGTTTCAGGTAGAAAATGATCCCGAGAAAATATCATTTTCGAAATTGTAGGTCTTTATATCCTAAAATCCTTTTTCCTAGCTGTAACTAACAATGGGAGTAGGTATCTGGACCCTACCCAGATTCAATCGGCCCAATCTCTAGCAAAATTTACAGCAAGAATTGGCCGTCTTCCACCAGATAGGACATTGACCGAGGGAATTACTTTATTCCTCAAGGGCATTTGCGAAGCAGCAGCCGATCGTATGATTGCCGATTGGACTAAAGGTAAACTCAGTAGCCTTGTATAAGACCAATGGATTGACCGAAAGGCAGAATTCGTGGATAAAACCCCAGTTGAGTACATCTTGACCGTACCAGCTGTCTGGTCGGATAGGTCCAAGAGCGACACCTTAAAGTGCGCTGTTGATGCTGGGTTCTGCTCTGCAGGAGAGGTTTCATTGATCACGGAGCCTGAAGCAGCGGCGGTATACACATTTACTACAGTAAGCGTGCTTACCGAGTATACTCGTGGGATGGTATAATTTACAGGACATTGACTAGCTACCCGAATATTCAATTAAGAAGGGGACTATATTCTTGACCTGTGATGCTGGTGGAGGAACTGTGGTAAGTAGAGCTTAATTAGTCGGTGCCTTTATTATTTTGTATCACGGCTCATTCGATGACCATAGGATCTTATTACCTATAGAGTCTTGGATACCAAACCGGTCCTTAAAGTTGAGGAGGCAACCTTAGGCACAGGGGGCCTCTGCGGATCTGTATACCTAAACCGAAGATTTGAAGACTTCGTCGCAAAGAAAATCGGTAAATATCTAGATGCACTTCCAAGGGTAGCATATCTCGAAGGAATGACGGAGGTGTGTTTTCTGTTCCCCAAAGAACCATATTCTAAACCTACCAGATCCACCGAGCTTTCAACGAAGAAGTCAAAACGGACTTTGGTCATGGACTCGAAGATGAGAAGGAGTACACTATCGAAGGTTAATCAACTCCCTACATTTAGGGCCCTATTTAGCACTAACCTCAAGTGCAGTGCCTGCCGGTATCCCGGACAGCGAAGAATCAGGTGTACGAGACGGCTGCCTGGTTATCAGGCAAAAGGATTTGGAGGAGGTGTTCGACCCAGTCATTGATCGCATCGTCATGCTCATAGCAGAGCAGATCGAAGCTGTCTCCGAGCTGCCGGGTGAAAATAAGGTCTCTGCAATCTTGCTGGTGGGCGGGTTCGGAAGCAGTGAGTATCTGAGGAGGAAGATTGAAGGCAATCCATTATGGGAAGGAACGGATGTTATTCAGCCTGTGAATGCGTATGTGCATATTTTGATGCTTCTGGATTTGCTTAAGACTTACTAACGTTGTGGATGGGTGAAGGTGGTCTGCTGTAGTTCGAGGAGCGTTGTTACGCGGACTACAAGGCGATATAGTTAGCACTCGCAAGATTAGAAACTTCTACGGAATTGAGTATAGACAAACTTGGGAACCAGAGATTCACGAAGTTGGCGACTTTGCAAACGAAGCTGCACAGCATAAGTATCCCCCCAAACCCATACCCCGCTTGTGAAAGAAAACTAACGCCTGCAATAGAGAATGGAGTGACGTAGAACAACGCTACTTCTGTGCCCAGAGAATGAACTGGTACGTCAAAAGGGTAAGTTTGCACTTCCCCCGACCCGTTGAGCAATAATTCTACCGATAATTTCTGCTAGGGAGACGAGTTCTCTAGCTCGATGGTGGTTAACTTCCCCTTCTACCGCGCGATCACCGATACCGCACAGCTTCGCTTCACGGAAGAGCTCATCACGTATACCAGTAGCGGGGATGCTCCCGACTTTATAAACTCTCGTACTGCACCCGACCCCCCCCCCCTTCCACTCTTTCCTCTAGGGGGCTAACATGCATTATAGAATGCTCCGTTCTAGCTGGTATCGAGGTAGATTTAACCTCCTTTCCGCTGGGGACCTGGGAAATGGTACAAAGTTCTGCAGGGTCTTACTACAAGGTTGACTACGCGCTCGAAATGAGCTTTGAAGCGGCGATTTCGTTCAAAGTAGTCTGTAAAGGTGAGCTCAGAGGTTCACGCTTGCAAGAAACTTCAAGGAATCCGCTGACTTCGTCCTTCAGGAGCTGTGGTTGGAGAGATCGTGGCAGATTATGACAAGAAATAGGTTCACCATGGTGGAAGCCGGACTCATCAAATCATGATGTACGCTCCTAACAGAACCGTATACCCCCATATCTTGTCATCACAATATCCCCTCCTATTGCACGAACCATTTACAGCCGTAAATTATTACAAGTATTGTTTCCAAAACCCCCTGAGTGGAGCGCGACTCCCCTAACCCTATCGAGTGTGCCGACATGAATTTGGATATATTGAGGTCAAAGTCAACCCAAAACAGTGATCCCCTACATTACCAAGAGACTCCAAACTTGTATCATATTAATCCAATCGTCGCTACCGAAAGCTTCCCAGAAAAGCAAACCCCAAAAAGTCTAATCCGCGAAGGACTTCTCCGCCCCCGTAGACTTAAATATCAACAACGTCCCATCCTGCTGAATATCTACCGTATAATCCGCGAGAGGCTGCGTCTCAGAAATAACCTCGTCTTCTTCCAAATATGTATGTACTAGCTCCTCCTCGATACGTGTCTTGACCGCAGTCTGCAGCGAACGCGCACCCTGGTCCGGATCATACCCTTCCGTTGACACAGCTTTGCAGACGGCACCGTCGCTCTTGATGTGCAAGAGTACTCTCCCGACCAGTTTCCCCGAGGAGAGGTTCACAGGTGTCAGGACTTTGTGTTTCAGTTCGAGGATGTATTTGTGTGCCACTACTGCTTGTTCGCCGAGGGAGAAAGGGAGGAAGGGGAGGACTGCTGAAATTCTACCGGACAAGGGGTTCTTTGGGGGTGGGGGTTAGTATGTCTTTGGGTCTAAAAATGTGGCAAGGGCAGAGGAGGGAAATACTCCGAAAGTATGTTTTAATTGCTTCTTCAGGGTCTTTTCCAAGTCGGTCATTAGTCGTGCATGTTTATCTTGATCGTCGTTTGTGAGGACGCCTGGGTTCTTTTCACAAAAATCGACGATTTTCCGATCTAGCGCGTTCGTTGCTATGATCCAGATTGTCTTTGAACAGTCCACAGCTTCCCGGTTTCTTCGGTCGACGTACTTCCCTTTTGGCCAGTTAGTGATGTGTGTGAGAGCACAACTTGGGTGAGATTCATACCTTCGTCGAAAGGAATCAAGCAGGCATTCTGCACTTCTCGCGTTGTCTTTTCGAACTCGTCCAGGAAAACGATCGCTCGATTCCCGCTCATTCGTGTTAAGAAATTGTTTAACGGGGAGCCTTTCTCATATCCCATATATGGCTGCTTAGGCCCGAACAGATCAGACTCGCGTCTGATCTCTGTGGAATCGACGCATTCGAGTTCTAGTGTCAGGAGTTGACCAAGGCGCTTTGCTAACTCCGTTTTCCCGTGGCCGCTAGGTCCGGCAAAGACAAGCACTAAGGGTTTACTGGTCGGTAGCGCAAGGTGGGTGAGAAACTTCTTAATAACAGAGCTTGCGGCAGTCGCCTGTCCAATCATGAAGTATGATATTCCCAACAGCTCCGTCGCATTATGCGCCAGAGCTACTTGGTTTTGACGTGCGGATGCCGGCTTATCCTTGATGGTCTTTTCTAGAAAGTATCTTTGTGAGATATTGGTTACTCGGGCGAGCGATGGCCAGATGTACCGTTTGCACCATTTCTTCTTCGGCTCGTCTATATCCGTTACTGTTCGTGGGTCTGGACCTTCCACTGGTGGGTCCTGTAGAAATGGTGTAAAGAAGGCTCTTGGAATAACGCTAGCATCCGCGCCCAAACTAAGGAGCGTGGTGGTCATTATCGTAGTGTCTTTGTGAACATTGAGAGTATTTAAAATGGCGAACGCCAGAAGTGGAAATCCATGTGTCTTCTCCACGGCATTGGGATCTCCCCCATACTTTATCCAGGTCCTTATCAATTTCTCGTCATTGGTCGCGACTGCGTAAAAAATTCCAGGGTATCCCGATACGGTTTTGTTAATGCTCCGCGAGACAGTGTCCGGCCGATAATATGAAAAGTACTGAATGAGTTTACTGTCATCGATACCCTGCTGTAGACCAACAACAAGCCTTGCCATTGAAAAGCTCAATATCATCCCCTCTTCCGGTCGGAATTCTCCAACACCACTGGTGACGGGTGGCAGGCTAAAATCCCATTCAGGGTGGCTCGACTCCGCTGAATCATCTTGACTTCCTTGAGTGCCTAATTTGTTAATTTGGAGCGAGATTTAATATACAAGCCAGCAGGGTCTTAGCATACCTTGAACGGGATCTGCTTGGGTATCCTCTGCCATGTATGGTGGGGGGTTGGCTTACTAAAGTTACTTCCTAGTCGCTCATGCAAAACAATTAGACTACTCACGATCATCACCATTACTCTTTTTGACCTCATTACTCTTTTCCACGCCATTACTATTTCCAATGCCGTTAACGCTCCCGACACCATTACTATTATTATTACGCCGGGCACTATTATCCGAGGATTCTGATGGGTTGTTGGCCTCGGTATCGCGACGGGTAGCTGTTGTGTCAGCTGGCGAGGCGGTCTGTAATCCACCATTGGGCACAAAAAGCTCCGGAGATTCGTTGCTATTTTGCCTGGGACGCACTGGGGGGTTCTTTGGTGCTGATGTCCCTGGCATGGGGTTGGCCTTTGTCTCTGGTGGTTCCAAGAACTGTAAGTCTGTGGACGTTGGAACTAACTAAAGCAGGGCGTATACGAGTAGCAAATACTGTCCCGAGCATATTTATCGCCGCTTCAGTGTCATTTCGACATGCCTACCAGCAACCACCCACATCAGTCATTTCCCCTCCAGCAAATAAGGGCGGGCCCACCTTTAATGCAGCAACAGCCCTATTTCTGGTCACGGAAGTTGTTTGCATAACATGCTGGACCTGGCTCCATCTTTCTCCTCCCGGTAAATACTGTGTAGGATCCATCGTTGGGGGAAAGTTTCCGGATAACAGAGTAGAGTAAATAGGGGCGAATTCTAGGAATATCGTGATGAAAGGGAGATGGGAGGAGGGGAAAGTGGTGGAGGGACTTTTTCTAGTGTTTTCACGGCTGAGGGGAGTTAAGGCGTCCCTGAGTGTTTAACTATGCTTTTGCTTTTTCCACTGAGGATAGAATGCAGTTCGGAAGAAACCCCACCACGTAAACCAATAACCGCCATCCATTTTACCAGTGCTTGATTTGAAGTCTCTTCGCTTGATTGTTGGCCATGTTTGTCAGAATTACTCCCTATCTACCAAGTTATCCTTTCCCTCCCACCATCGGACTCGATTTGGTGCATTTGTCTCTTTTTGAGCCTTAGGCTTCCAGGTGGCAGCTGCCGAGGTCCGGGTTCAGGGAATTTCACTTCGCCTCCGGAAGTTCCCATCTTTGTTCGGTGTGAGCAATTGGGTTATCGACACCTAGACACGAACACAGCACTGACGAATATCATGAGCAACTTGTCCGCACACTTTAATGTCAATGTCCGCCAAAGTATCGGTACTCGTACAGATCCCTAGCGCCAAGTTGTCTGGGCATCTTTGGTTTGTGAGCTTTAAAAAGAGCTCCGACAACAATCAACTGCCCGAGTACAGTACTCGAGTACTCGAGCATCGGTGCCGGTAGTTAACTAAGTACACCCTGTCGTACAGTACCCGAGTAGTCAATAGTTATAGTGACCCAACAACGATATTTCCAGTCTCCGAGCCGCTGGGGGGCTCCATGCACCCTGGGCCCACTCGCCAGTTCGGCGCCTGCGATTAAGAGCCCATTTCGTGGTGCAATCTGAGAAATCTTGCTCAGGCAAGGGCGAGAGGGAGAGGGGCTTAACATGCGGTACCATGTGGATACAGGCATGAAGCTATGCTAGCTCTCCCGCCCTGATCCTTTGATTGGCGCTGCAACCTTTGTGCCATCAATTGAGCCCTCTTTCGCTTGCGAGGTCAAATTCGTTCGTCGAGAGGATTATGGAATTCTTACGGCGCTAATCTCGGGTCTCACCAGGTGGCACCTCCATTGCACAAGTACTCGTACTCGAGTACGGTACTCATGCTCGTGCTCGTGTGCGGTACGGTACTTGGCCGTTTAAATACTCCACCTATGATACCATGAATGCCAATGAATTCGTGACAAAGAATCAACGCCGCGTGTTTGCGGGTGTCTGCGCTGTCTACCGTCCTCGAGCACCACGAGTCTGTTCACGCGTCCAACAATACCACAAAATCCAGAATGATTGTACGTGTGCGTTATATCGTTCAAGTTGTTAGGGTTTGGAACATTTTTTCGTTCCCCCCTATCTTTCAGAGGCAACGAACAACAAACCTTTTGCTATGTTTTTCGCCCCTTTCCTAGGAATAAATTTTTGGGCTACCCAGCATGCGGTTCAATTACTTGAGATCCTACGTTATCGTACTGTTGAGTGTGCTAGAGCGGTTTGATTAGACAACGAGAGCTTGAGGAGCCTTAGGTTAGTTATCTGAGCATTAATGTTGGGAAATGTGCAATACTAGAGGTTGGAGCCCATGTCATGAGATTTTACTGCCCTATTTGTTCTAACCTGAGCGCACCAAGCTAACTTACTCTTTTAGTGTTTCACTTCATATCTATAGTGCCGAATTAAGCGATGGGCACTGTCGAGGAAGCTTACTATCATACCACGACGTGTCTATCTGGAGGAAATTACTATAATATTATATAGGGGATGTATTTAAACCTCTCCCAGTATATGTGCTCCTATTTGAAATCCTATATGGGTGGATTCTGGGGAGAAGAGAAGTCTCTGAGTTGTTGCTACTCCCGTGCCTACATACTGTGTGTCGATCACTTGCTAAAATTGCAGATGAAATCTATCACAGAAGGAATCCAAAAAAAACATCTAAAATATATTTCCGCAACTTGCAATTGTGGGTCATATGGTTTGGCCTTGTGAGAAGAGGTCTATATAAGACCGAGTACTTTCATGGTTGATTCACTCATACTCTATATCCTCTATGTTCCTCATACTGGAGGTTACTGTCACTTTGGGAACATCTCAACACTACGAAAACATCACCACTTTTCCCTGCCTGCACCTCCCTTGGAGGATATGTACTGGACTCTTCATTCCCATCCACTCTGGCCTTCGAGCTCTTCTACGCTTTTTTCCTCTTAGGGTCTACCCTTATAACTTGAAGGCCCCTTTAGCTCCTTTCGCTTCTCTCAATATCTCACGATCTTGGCTGTCTCCCAATACCCTGCTTTTGCTTTACCCTTGATTAGTGATAGCGCTATCAGCAATACTCAGTTTGCTTGCGACAGACAGCTGGAAACATGGCTAGCAGTAGACTATAGTATGATATTATCAGAGGCGCTGTGGATATGGTGTTGAAAGGGAATCCAGGAGAAACCAGGGGGCTTACATGCACGATGAAGACCCGCTCTATGCCACTCTTATTGAGACAACATCCTCTGGTCGTAATTGGCTGCGTGGCCATACACGTGTCCGACAATATTATGGGGGATGCCGCATCCAACATGGCCACCCACCACTACTGCCGAGTGATCTCTGATGCGCATGTCCTATTTGACCGAACCAAAGATCAAGAACGACGAAGAAGATTTTATATCTTATTCTTGCTTCAATAGTACTAGGTACGGCACTGCATTTAGTTGTGCTATATACCGTGTAATGCTATGACGGGTAGCATAATGCATTTCATTCGCCAGACCCGGGTTTCTCGGGGCCGGTGGGTGGGGTGCCCGGGGATCATCAGTGCCTCTGCTTTCCGCTTTTTCCCTCTCGCCCGGCAGGATGATCACCATTTGGGCCGCACGTGTGAGCTGTGATATCAACTCTAGCACTTTGAGTTAGAAGGGGCCCCGCGGTTTATTTGACATGAAAATCAAACTTGGTTAGCTTCAGACTGCGATACAGAAACCATGTTTGGGCTAGTCACTCTCGTCATTAATAATGCTTTTCTGCGGGGGGTTGAACCTCTTCCCTCTTCACATATGATTGGTGTTGATATTTTTGCTTAGTCGGGACTGCTGTGTAGTAATGTGCAAGGTCATTGGCTTCCAGGGCTACACCATCGGAATGGCTATTCAAAGACCCCCTACCTTGCCCCTTCTCCAGTCCGGGCAGATAGCCATGATAAGTGGAATCCTCCTTATTCGTGCAACTTATGATACTGGGCCATTGTATCTGAGGAATTGCAAGGCGCATGGACACAAGCCCCGTATTGGGGAGTTAGCCGGCAACGCCAGTGCACTCTGCTATATAGTGCCGACCCAGCTGTTGCAGACAGAGGATTCCTTTATTTTCACGGCAGGTGACTGGCCCCCATCACCACCCGCCACCCTGACCCGTGAATCTCCTTAAGAGTCTCCTACGGGATGCGGCTTCAATGATACTTGGGGCACTGCTCCCGGACATTAGGGTTTCTTCGACAGTTTAATCCTCGGAGCGGGGAAGTACGGGAAGGTTCTCTCTGTAATCGTCCTCGAATGCGCCCCCTCTGAATGATCCTGCCATAAAATATACCCCTAAGCCGGGAGCCCGCCAGAGGGGAACCCGAGTCTCGTTTTGCTTGCATAAATTTTGCACCCATCCCATATGTCCCCTCCCATAATTGCTGTGTCTGGTGCGCTTCTAATCTCGCCTTTGGTCCGGCCCGATGAGCGAGTTTGCTGGTAACGACGTCTTGCTTCTGGGGATCATTCGGGCCTGGGTGGGAGATTGCAACCCCACACTCGAGATCCACAATGGATAGGCCGAGGCGTTGGGCGCTGAGAAGGGTTAGTGGAAGGGGGGTAGGGCATTGCTCGACGGGAAGATATTGGTCACTGGCGGTGTGCAGGAGCACATAAAAGACGATTTAGCTGCCCATAAAAAGAGGCTTGTCGAGGAGGTGGTGGAAATTGAGACTAACTTACCCGACGGGATCCACATGGAACCCATTAGTTGGGTTACTCGTTTGGGACCGAGGGGGTCGGCGGCTTAAGTTGGCGCACCTTGAGGGGGCTGAGGGAGGTGGTTTCTAGGCGACCCGGAGTCGAATTTGTCATGAAATAAGTAGGCGGCGGATTGGTCGGGACATTTCACTCTCCCAATATGTATATTCTCTCAATTACGGTACCACAACACGATAGTTCTCCATGCTTCTCATCGTTAATCACTCGTCGCCGCATCCACCTTCATATACAGTACCTCTCCCCTGCAACCACTTCCGCCTCCATCTCAACCGCATCCGCCATCTCTCCGAGAGTTCTAAACCTCCACTTCCAGCTGCCGACCTTCTCCCCGTTGACAACCCCTTCCACCCCCGCCACTCCCATCACCGCGCTCTCACGATCAATCCACGCGCCAACCAACCCGGCTTTCCCAGCGGGCACATGATCATGAAAAAGGCTTTGCGCAGTCACCAGCACCTCCTCTTTCTCTACCCCAAGTCCCGCAGCCTTTCCAAGCATGTACTCGAAGTTCTTCGGGTCGGGCTTATAACTCCCAATTCTCTCGGCCGTGCACACCTCATCGAACGTTCCCGCGTCCCCCAGCTTTCCCAAGCTGCCTGCGAAGCTGGCCTCGTCGACGTTACTGAGGACGATTAGCTTGTAGCGGTTCTTGAGCCGCGCGAGAGCTTCCTTGGTATCCGGGAATGCGGGCCAGGCGGGAATGCTGTTTCCGAAGGCCTCGACTTCGGCGCTGGACAGTGGGGTTTCTGGACAGAGCTGCTCATGAAGGTCGCGGTAGACTCCTGATAGGAGGGCGCTGTAATGGAGAGCTGGGGCTTCCGCTTGGTGCTTGGCTTCGAGGGTATGGTAGCGTTCGAGGAATGCTGGTTTGGATGTATCCGTATGTGGTGGGGCGCGGGAGAGGAGCGGTGATGCGGTAGCGTATATTCCGGATTCCTAGTCTATTAGGGTTCCATAGACATCAAATGAGAGAGCCTTGAAGGATGACAATTTTTTTTCAGTCATGCTTGTTGCTGGTGTTTGACAGAATTTGAGAGGTTGTCGTATGCTAAGGAAAACCCAACGATTTGCGGGCTTATCCTTGCCCGGGCTTTTTTTTGGAAGTGTGGAGTGTGGGGTTCTTGACAGCAACTTATAGATTATCGGTAGTTTAAATGTATGATATCCCGGGTCTTAGAGTATGTAGTCCTTCCATACGCTGTTGATTTGGCTCGCGGCTGTTCAAGTTGCCCGTGCTCGAGGAGAGCAAGTTCCACAAACTCTACACTATAAACATTCGCACTTTCTCTCGCAGAATCTGCAGAACTCTTCTAAAGGTCACGGTAAGATTCTCGATAGCACGCTATCACGCAACTTTCTGAGAACGTTCGGGCTTCCTTATTGGGAGCGGTTGCCCAACTAGATAATGGCCGCCACCCAGCGTAGGGGGCGCCTAGCCAGCGCAAAATTAGAGATCACAAAGCGAGAGATTTTTTTAACAAATCGCGACTTGCATAGTCAAGACGTATGCTTAATTTTTATTGTGTCGAACCAGCCTTCAGGCTAAAGTGGCTAAACTACCGTATGAGATGTTCTCCGCATTTTACAAACTGCTGAGAATCTTGTCTACATGGGTGACAGTGATGTTGGGGGCTTCATTCTCGACCTGTTTGTCAAAAATCAGTTCACAAGTTCGTGACTTAAGACACTATAGGGCATACTTGAAGGTTGGTGACCTTTCCGTCCTCAACGACGGCGACGTATCTCTGGGAGCGTGCGTTTCCAAGCAATCCACTGGCATCAAAATCGAGCCCAACCAATCTAGTGAATTCGCCTATCCCACAGATATGCAAAATTAGTATTGAATGCCCATTACCCAATGAAATTTAGATTATCAGCATACCTTTGGAATCCGAAAGGAAATGGACGCTAGAGCCCTTGGCAAGCTGCTCCTTCCAAGCGTTCACGACGAACTGGCATACAACAACGAATTAATCACAATTAGATCAAATCAAGAGTTAAGAGATGCAAGAAACTTACAATATCGTTAACGGCGACAACGTAAACAGCACTGATACCCTTCGCCTGAAGCTTGTCGTAGTTTTCAACGTATCCAGGAACATGCGACGAGCAAGGAGCTAACCGCATCGAAAATGCTTTGTTAGAACTTCTCCGTACTCGTACGAACTTAATTGGGTGTGAAGGGGCAACTAACGAGTGAAGGCTCCTGGCACACCAACGATAATGTACTTTCCGCTGGATGGGAGCGAGACGGTATTATTATCCTTCTCAACCCAGAGGCTCGCAGGGGCAGCAGGAATTGACGAGCCGACTGAAATCATGATGAATTGGAACAAGTTTCTGTGAAAGTTCGGGAATGTGTTTGTTGGTGCTTGTACGAGTAACTTAGTTTTCGAGAGATGAAAATGCGGGGTTGGTTGTGGTGGGGGGCGATTTATTGGTATCCCTCTTTAATACGTCATGCCAACCTACAGGGATCAAGCCTTTTGAGATGCAACGGTTAACATTGCTGAACTTCCTTTTTTCTCTCTTAAACCCTATTAGCTAATATCGAGATTTACATCTAAAGAGTAACTCATTGAGGGGCTTTAAGGATATTTGCGGTTATGTTGGGAATTTAGGTGTATTGTGGGGGACTTTTTTTTTTTTTTTTTTTTTTTTTTTGTGGTGATACAGCTTGGTCTATAAAACCTTGGCCGACATGATGGGTCATGTGGAATTCATAGCTTAGTACTCGCCATTTGAGCCTGCCCAGCGCTGCTTGGTTACGATACCGCCCAGGGTGGACAGTACCGGGTCCAGCTATGGGCTGAGCACGATTTACATTTAAACCCATATCACGAGCTAAGAAACAAATTCCCTTACTAAAAAATATATCATAGTTAAATACAGATTCCAAGGACTCAACTGACACCCCCTTTTACAGCCGAAATCAACCCAATCCAGGAGTACAGTACAGCACAGCAACCAAGCCAGAGGTAAGAACTATTAAATAGAAGGCGATTATGCAACTCAACTTGACATTGCAAAAAAGGTAAGGCAAGGCTCCCCAAGTCGAACATTGGAGCTCTAAATTCCAGCTCATTCTTAGCGATTGCGTTTATGGCCGTGACCACGATTCTTTTGTCCTTTCCTTCTTTCACGATGTCCTGTACGGCCCTCATTACCTTGGTGGTCGTCTGATTCAGTTTTCACATAGAAGTAGGACGATATCCTGCGTCTCTGGTTGCCTAGGGGAATCTCAATCACGTCGTCGTCGGAGCCCCTTTTATTTCTAGGGGAAATGATATCTAGATTATTGGGGGAATTGGTCACGGGTCCGGTAACGTAGGCGGTTTCTGTTTGGATATAAGCCTCAATGCCTTGATAGTACTCTATGGGGCCAGGAGTTTCAGACTCACTGAGAGTGCTGGGATCTTGGCCATTACTATTAGCGATGGGGGATTGAACAGGCAGGCTAGAATGGCAGTTGTCCCAACCCCTACTGGTTGCAGGGGGGGGTATAGGCTCGGGCCACCCGTGGGGCTCGCTAGTAGACTGGCCAATAGAAAAGGCAGGCTTGTTCCCAGAAGGTGGTCCAGGAGCAGCATCACCGCCAGGCCAGGGAACCCCGGAGGAGGTATTTTTCGCACTCGTCGCCTCAGTGGCGGTTTTCTTCATCTCAATCCTGATCTTCTCCTCTGTTTCGATCTTGTTACAGAGATCCTGATAAACAGTGGCGGTCATCGCAATCCCTTGCATCGGGGTCCCGAATCTCTGTTGCTCCGCTTGAAGCATATATTTAATATCCTTCAGAACCTCGTCCGTCATATCAGGTTTTGGCAGTGGCGGCGGCAAATATCCACGTTTCCTTTCGACAAGCCCAGCCTCCTCACGGTCCGTGAGAATAAGGACTCCCTTAGAGTTGCGCTTGCAAAGAGCACCAGATATCTCCCTTTGGACCTCAATGAGGTATGCCTCTAAGTCCTCGCCGATATCCTGACCATATTCACCATATTTGATGGGCGCACCGTCAATAACACGTTGGGCTTCTTGAGCTTCCCATTTTTTAAACCAGGCGTCGAAGTCCTCCTCATAGGGAACGTCGTACTTGTCTATAATAATAGAGGCACTATATTAGAGAATATGTGAGAAATCTTTGTTATGATGGACCATACCTTTCTTAGCTTCATCTACTTTTTCAAGGAGAGCGACATGAGAAGTCCGAGATGGCATAGTTGCTTCCTTAATAGGAGCATATCCGGTATTATTATTATTAACAAGGAGAGAAAATCCTCCATCTACGGACTTGGTAGCGGCTGAGTTGTTTTCGTTAACCTTTTTATGTTTTATGAAACGAGGATTGGTTGACATACTCATTTGTATGTTGGGGGATCAGTGGGGGGATTAGAGTGGGGATGCAGCGGGTTATGTGGGACTGCAATTGTTACTGGTGGGGAAGGGGTTAGCGTGTGCGGAGAGCAGGGAACGAGAGGTAGAAAAGAGGGGTGAGTGGTCAGGTGAGCGTGACAGGATGAGATTGAAGGGCTGGATTAGAGGCAGGTGGGGGAAGAAGAAAAACTTTCTAGGTCAGGGCTGCGCCGACCGCGACAGATGCCTTAGAGAGAATAACGTATGATAGGATATCATATGGAAATCAATTTTGAAGTTGGTAGACTCTTCAGTGAGCGAGGGACATACAAGCGGGAATTTTCCAAATGCCAATGAGAGTAAGATCGCAATTTTTAGGTTCGGCCTTTAATCAGAGTTATAGGAATTTTCTAGTGGAGGGATTCAATATTGGGAAGTATCGAACTGGCCCTCTTCGTGCCGACACGGAAAAGCAGATATCATAATATTATACACACACCAAAGTTTGAAACCATCAAACCCAGATATGGAAACCACCATGTATCATACTGCGAAGGCTTCACTAGCAATCCCAAATCACTGTTTTTCAAAGCTCTTCCAACATCTCCTTTGCCGTGGTCCTCCCGTTAGTCCTACTACCGCCGAGTGATTCTAAGTGATGATACTGTACCTCCGTAACCCGCCCTATCAAACTGCGCAAAAACCACCACGAGCGCCTGTTGTTTGTACCATTGCATCATTCATTGTTTCCCTTCGTGCAGTGTTTTAATAGCCTCCGTAGCCGCGACACGTCATCGGAGGGCGGAACCAGGGTGACCCGGGGTGGGTAAAATAACCACATTTTAGTCATCCAATTAATTTCAGCACCTGTTTCCGTACGGACATAGAGCCGCACCGAGCCTCCTCCCAGTCCCCCACATATCATATCAAATTCACTACATGCTTAAAGGTTCCATTACCCTGCTACTGAATCATCACCTGACCGCCTTCCTTTCGTGACGGCAGAGCTAATAATGTCCAGCACTCGTGCCCGGACTGTCACCTTGCACAGTGTGAAATAAGGCTATCAAAGGGGTTCCAATTAATGACCACCACTTAATTAAGCTAACGCCAATGCGAAAAAAAAACTATTGCTTGGCACTCTCGTTTGTTCAACCAGGCCTTATTCTATCAGCGGTTGTGAATGGGCGATGGAAGTTTTTGGATGATTCTGGAAGTCGGTGGAGTCTGATGGACCGTTTAGGAGCATGATGGATTGTTCTAGAGCTTTAGTGATTTAAGGAGAGGGTCCTCTGGACATGTTTTTCCTCCGCTATCACGGGAGTGTGCAGAGGTCATGCATAGAGACGCAGAGGTAGGTGTGGTGACCCAAGGAAGGATTAGGATGCATTGATTCTGTTCTGCTCATACACCTGTCTTTTTTACCGTTAGTCTAGTTAAGGACGAAGAAGAGTGGGAGAAGAAGAGAACGATGTTGACTATACCCCCCCACTTCCCCACATAGCGCCCAAGCTCCAAGCCATTCCCCCGCCCCACCGCTACGTTATCTACCTCCCACCCTAATATCTTCAAGGTCTCCTTGGTAAGGTAATCCGCAAGCCTAAAGTCCTGAGTAATCTTATCAAGCTAGGCCTCATCCATACCAATGAGGTGGCCCGCCCACTTCTTGCTACGAACTTTTCAAAGACAATATTCCGGGAAATTCTAGAGATTCTGGGATCGGGTTTCCAGACGGGGGGGGGGTAGATATCGCGATGTCTAGGATAGACTTTGTCGATGAATTTCTCGAATAGTTCGTAGTGGTCACGAATCTTAGAATCTCCCATGCCCCAGGCGTCAGTGGCAAGACAGGATTTCTTCTGTAGAAATTCTTTGAAACTCCATGTAAGCAGTTTAAGGGTTTATGTAAACCACTCCTACTGAGGGGCGCTTTAAAGCGTAGAAACATACGATGTCTTTGTGCATCCAGACACATCAGCTAGCTCTACCTCCATCATCTATCTTCGTCATGGAACTAAGGTTGGGTTCTTGGGGCGTGCGAGAATCAGTATCTATCTACTATACAGCTCTCTATATCCCTATGAACTGCTAGTGCGAGTGCAAATTGTACTGTACATAAAAGTAGTGCTGGGCAGTTAAGGGATTAGGGGGAGGGGAAAGGGGGGAAGAAAGTTACCTAGTGGAAGGCTGCTAGATAAGTTCATGTCTATGATACTCCTGAATTTCTTCCGCAATAGACTGGTGGGTCCTTGGGTCCCAAAAATTAACTGTATAGAGGATCGTGCAATGTGACTGATACCTCTTGAATTTGTTTTAATACCTGCAAAACTTACTAAAGGTTTTATACGAAATGAGTAGGAGATTTTTTAAACCGCATAACCACCATGCTTGATTCACTGTTACTATCTTATGAAACAAAATAAACATAGGGTGTGCTTCGGCAATCATGAGTTCTATCCCTGTGCGGTACGCACATGGGGGACCACTAGTTGGCGGTATCATACGGAATCTGGGGGTTCCTCTGAGGTCCGGCAAACGAATAATAATGGTCACAGATGCTTCGGCAAGAAAAGAATAATTTAGCGTGATGGTTAATTTAAATATTGCCGTGACTAATAATGTGGACTGGGGGTACCATAGTGTATGATACTAACTAGTAAGTGTGATGGTCTGGGCTACTGATGCGGTCAGATACCGGTATCGTAGTAAAAGCAGACTACGGTACCGGTAGTCTACTGCCAAGTTATCTGATGGATCTAATCGGTAATCACGTAAAAGAACGGTTACTGACGCGTCTCGTGTACAGTACAATTTTTGAGTTTTAACGCGTTCCCCTTCTAACAACAATGGGTCATCCCATCTCAACAAACTGATCGAGAAACGGATGTCGGAAATCCCATCTGACCTGGACCCAGCGCTATTCTTCTCTGACTATCTTCCTTCCGATCATCTTGATAACCCTTCCGCCGCATTTCCAACCCCACCAATAGAATCATATTCAGACGACTTCGAAGCTCTAGATCTAGTCAGGGAGGAACGGCGCTCGCGCTTGACGGAGGAAGGGGTGGTTATTCAACATCGCCAGAGAGATACAGCGCCGATTTTCAGAAGCAGCTCCCTGCCTCCAGGTATCTCTTTTTGAGACGCGTTTCTTTCTGCTTCAATTGGTTTGTGTGCTAACCTGATAGCAGTGACCCCAACACGGAGAGGCGTGAATAGACCTTCTCGTTTTAGGGACGAAAGTTGTGCTACTTTGAATACAGTCTCAATGGCTTCTTATCCCCGGTCTTCACCTCCGCTAGATTCCACAAGTCCTCTGGCTGCAAAGAAACTCAAGCCTACGTTAACTGAGGACAATAGCGACAGCGAAGAATTTGATTATCCTGACTCTGATAAAGAAGAGGCGCTCGGGAGCGCATTGAGCTCGGGCGAAAATGATTCTCAGGATCTTCCTCCTACACTTGCTGAACTGCCAGCCACAGCGCCAAAACCACCTCCCTTGAAGCCCGTATTCAATTTGCGCTTATCTGGCAGCATCCTCAGCAGGAAATTTTCAGCTTTAGAAAAGCCCTCTTACCACCTAAATGCGGCAGAGGAGAATGCGGAGAAGAATAGGATGACTTCCGAAGAGGTTGCGTCGATTCTTGGAGTTCAAACTTTTCGACCGGACGTTACTCCACCACCGCAACTTCCTTCGCCCGATGCAGACAAGGGGAGCCCCTTTGAGCCTTCCGCTCAAACAAACTTTACTTCATCCATCCCTACACCTCCAACTGGCCATAGGCCAACACAATCTCACACTTATATCTCCGTCACTATAGGTCGCGAGACAATCCAAGTTAAACAGAGACCGAAGAAAATTTTCAGCGTGCGAGATGATTATTATATGTCCAATGTTGCTATCTTGGGGGATAACCCGCCGGAGCAGTCTAATTCAGTTAAAAGAAAATATTTTGGTGTTGATATACACAGCCTACTCGATGAATACAAAATAGAAAAGGATATGAAAAAAGATCGTCACGAAGCGGAGCATATCCCACCCACAAACGTAATGCCAGAAGACCCAAATATCGGTTCCCAGAAAACTCTTCTATGGACGGAAAAATATCGGGCAAAACGCTTTACTGATTTGGTGGGAGATGAGCGTACGCATCGGCAAGTTCTTCGCTGGTTCAAGTCCTGGGACAAAATTGTGTTTCCATCTGTAGCGAATAGACTTGTGAACAATAGGGACGAAAACGAAGGTCGAGAATTGAGAAAAATTTTGCTTATCCATGGACCTCCTGGACTTGGGAAGACGACTTTAGCTCATGTGGCAGCCAAGCAAGCGGGCTACGACGTTGTCGAGGTCAACGCTTCAGATGAACGAAGTGCCGGTGTTGTGAAAGGGAGAATCAAGGATATTCTAAGCAATGAGGGCGTCAAAACCATGGGCGCGATAACAAACGGGGCTAAGCAAAAGTCGTCTAGGGTCACAATGGGGAAACCGGTTTGTCTGGTCGTCGATGAAATCGATGGTGTGACCGGCGGTGGTGGAGCAGGTGCCAATGAAGGGGGGTTTATCAAAGCCTTGATAGACTTAGTTCTTGCGGACCAGAAGTTGAATAACATCGCTGAAGGAGCGACAAAGAAGAAAGGCCGCAGAAAAGGTGATAGTTTCAAGCTTCAGAGACCTATCGTGGCTGTTTGCAATGATCTTTACGCCCCCGCGCTTAAGGCTCTGAGGCCTCTAGCTGAAATAGTACACATGCGAAAACCGCCAGTTGGACCGATGGTCGGAAGGCTAAAATCGATTTTGGAATACGAGGGTTTTAGAACTGAGGATGGTGCTGTTCGTCGGCTAGTAGAGCTTTCATGTATGGGTGGCAATTCTACAAGCAAGTCCGCTGGAGATATGCGAGCGGCTGTAGTTGGGTGTGAATGGATAGCTTGTAGGCTGAGGTCAGCTGCAACAAAATGTGGTGATGACTCCAAATCTCGGAAAGAAATGAAGCTTCTGACCCGGAAGATTGTTGAGGAAGAATATGGAGACGGAGGCTTGGGCGAGGGCGATGGGAAAGGCGGAGGGGGCGGAAGAGGCAATATCAGAGAAGCCGTTGAGAGAGTCTTTTATAATGACCCAACGACAAAAAGAGCCGGTTCTAAAGACATAGGGGTGAAGAGGACGAGTGGGGAAAAACTACGGGAGATTGTCGAGGGACTGGGAGAGTTTGACAAAATCATGATGGACTGCTTCACCACATATCCCTCACGTCCATACAATGATGACCCCTTGTTGACCAAGCCCAATATGGCATCAGAGTGGCTATACTTTTCAGACCTTATTTCGTCTCGCGTCTTTCAGGAGCAGGACTACGAACTCACAGGGTACCTCTCGCAACCTATCCTTGCCTTCCATAACCTTTTCTGCAGCCCCAAGCGACAAGAGTCAACCACTGGCAGGTATGGCAAACAGTTTGAGGAAGTCGATCCACCACCCTTCTCAGGACCCGCAGCAGAATGGGAAGTTAGAGAAGGGATAAAAGAGAATAAGGCCTTGATACAAAGTGTCCATTCATGTCTTGGAGGAATCCGTCTTCATCAATGTTTCAAGAGCCCTGAAAGCGTCGCTTTGGAGTTGGCCCCCTGGGTTGTTCGGATACTCTCACCCTCTATTAAACCAGTGGTTGTCGGCGGCTCGGGCCCTACCGGAGGAATAGCGAGTGTACGGAGAGAAGGCGAGAAAAAGTTGGTGAGCAGAGGAGTAGAAGTAATGTGTGGCATGGGAGTAGAGTTCGAGAAGGTTAGAGTGGAGGGTATGACCACCCTCGGCTCAGGTTGGATATACAGGATGGAACCGTATGTAAACCATAAATGGTTGATACTTAAATTTAACTAACATTATTTTCGTAGGCCAATCGACACTTTATCTGTATATGCCACTCTCGCAACACCTACAGAATCAGCTCCAGCCCCGGTGAGATACGCAGTCCGCCAAGTTCTTGATCAAGAGTACAAAAAAGAACTCCTCCGCCGCCGTGAACTTGCCCGCCAGTCGCGCATGGGCGCGCCCAACAATATCCCTCAGCTCAAAAAGCCTACTACAATGCCTGATACTCCGAACTTGAAAAGAAAGAAGGTCCGGGAAATCAAGAAAGATTTCTTCGGACGTATCGTCGCACGGGGGGAAGATGAGGATACGGAGGAAGGAAGAAGGAAAAAGCGGAAAGAGGAGATGGACGAGAAGCGGGAGGCACAGAAGGTCTGGTTGAGCTTTCACGAAGGGTTCTCAAACGCTGTTAGGAAGGGAATCACATTGGACGAGTTGATGAATGGGTTGACGTAATTGCCAAGGGATCGATTGGGTTATGGCCATTGCGAGATGTATGATAATGAAGTTAGCGTGATGTACAGTTCATACTTCACATTATTCCATTTCTTTATTTGCGGTTTTGTAGCAGTGTTAAATAAGCCGGGAATCCTAGGGAGCACCCAACTCCTGCGGCGCAATTGTGTCTACGACCATGGGGAGGGTCTGTTTGTAAGACTGGTATTCATCAGATCAAATTCTAGAACGCCTTCAAATCAGGATCTGGCACAAATGCTCGCCGCGAGCAAGCTTACAAACTTCCACACTATTGCCGATATCGCCCTAAACAAGACTGATCTCAACACGGCTAACTACACGGAGAGCCAATCTCTGATGAGCCAAAACGAGGTTAAGAAAAAAGGTTACGAACTACTGGAAAACTGTCATGCGCACAGGCGTATCGTAGGAATACTAGTACTATCACATTCATGAGACATCCCAACAGCAAAGAAAACTCGAATGACTCTGGGCCAAAAAAAAAGTTTCCGGGAGACACGATGCTCAACCTGGTAAGAAATCCCGAGGTAAGCGGTGTAAGTATTTGTAGTCTGATATCTCTTTTTCTCCTTATAGTCACCCTGGCAAAAGCAGGAGCAAATGAGGCGGGGCTACCCAGCAGCTTGACCCCCCCCCCTCCGACTCGCTCGTTCTCACAGTCGACCGATGTGTGTTCAGTCCATTAGGGCTTTGGATTCATTCAGACAATTTCCCTAAATTTCCCCACTTGCCCAGTAAACCAGCCCTAGACCTGCGGCCACTAGTCGCACGCTGGTGAATTATGATATTTCGTATCATAAGCCTTAGATTCAACACCCAAGATCAACATGAACAAATCCGGAAGCGGGACGTTATTGCACCGGTAAGAAGTGACTTTTCCGCGAGATCAACAAACACGAGCCCAATTAGAGAGAGCCCTGAAGCTCAGACTTGCGAGGCTCGGTTTGGGCGCTGAGGTAGGAGCCCCGGGGGTATCTGATTAAAAAACTAGAAATACGGCTACGTTCCAGAGAACGAAGTGAAGAGAAAATAGAGACTAACAGGCAATCGTACCCAACCACTTGAGGGGGGACAGTATATACCGATCGAATGGAACGACCTGTATCGCTCGTAGGAAGTTTTTTTTGGTTTTTTTGTACTCCCCCATACCACAGGTGTGGGGTATCCAAGTTCGTGGGTGTGCAATACCTGTATGTAGGCAGGTATGATATCCTCGGATGCTGTACTGTTGAAGCAGAAAAATGATAGGGCAAGTTTTTCAAAACAATGTATCCTTTTATTTACTATTGGTCTGCTGCTCTCTTAAAAGAAGTTTCTGATGAAACTTGGCATACACGGAGGTTAAGTGCTACAATCAGCAGTGCGTATATTTCTTTTTCCCATGCAAGTCAGAAGGCAGAATTAAAGGCAGCAATCTTTGTGTTCTCATCAACCGCATGTGCTTTTCCTTCTCACCTGCATGTTCCCACCATCGCAGAGAGAAAGGAAATCTGTAAGGACGTAAAGGAAACTTTAGGGCCAATCACCTCTCTATCGGGAGTGGTGCTCAGTCCGAGTGGCTGTCAATGCACACTTTTTCCTAACTTTACAGATAGAGAGTCTCTCGGAGCTTCAATTTAAAAAGCAAAAGTCTTCCCTTTCGGCCTTTTTCGTTGGCCCCTGATCTTGCCGGAGCCCAGGAATGGCAAAAGACTCCACCCATGCCCCCAGGCACCCCCCCCGCGCAGTGCATCCTGCACCGTTATCCAGAATTTCAAACACTATAGCCCCTGCTTGCCTGGGGGAAGCTCTTCCCATCTCCCCTATCACACTATATGTGCATAGCAGCTTTCTTTTTCCTTTCCTTTTTTTTCTTCGAACCGGGGAGGATCGAATTTGTGCCATTAATCGAGACGTTGGGAAAGCGAAACAATAGCACTTTATGAATTTTCGCAAGCATTTTACCTGGTCTATATTTCGATTAGCACTGAATATCTGATGCGTTCACCTAAGCTACAGATACTCCCCCGCGTTGCAGACCGAAGCCGCTAAAGTCCTCTGCGCACATTTCTACTCTCCCACAGTCCCTTAATCCCACAAAAAGCAGGCCCCGCAAAACCCCGCAAAACCCGGTTATCGAAAAAATCTCATTTCCAAAGCCGATTGCTGGCTCATACGGTGGGAGGCGCACAAGTGTTGTTAGGTGGCTCCTTTGTGACGGGGAATTACCTGGGTTGATACTGTACACCTCTCTAACACGCATCATATCTTTTGTGTTAAACCCGAATCACCCATGGATGAGAAGCGGATGCGATTTCGTAGTGCTCAATTTTTCCAGCACTCAAGTAAATGAAAATAGAATGGCAGGCATCGGTTGAAACCCCCTATTATCGACTATCTGCTGATGCCTATCACCACAAGCCTAACCTAAAGCGGTTGTGTTTATATAAAGTTCCTGGTCCCCCAGTGTCAGATGGGCATGCAGTCAACTTCTTAATAGTAGTGGTTAAGCACTTGCTTAATCATCTACTTTTTTGTGCTAATGACTTCATTGCACCTACATAAATGGCCAATTGGAAACCTTCCCTCTTCCGCGGAGACCCTATGCTAGACACCCAGTTTTATAGGGGGCGGTGTCCCCACCAATGGGCAAACGCTGCTTGTTATCACCTCCTCGAGCGCCACCGAAAAATCGATTCCCGATTCACTTTTTCAACTGATTCAACAATATGTCGTCGACGGAACTCCCAATCATACCATGCGGGAAGAACTCAGAAATAAGGCTGACTTGCCGAGTTGTACACAAGTTGCGGCTTGCGTTTATACACTAAACTCCGGGGGAGCTATAATACGAGTAGTAATAATATTGGAAGCTAGACTATGGTGTCATTCTATAGTGCATGATGTTGCCATCCATTCACCAACTATACCTTCTACCAGAGTGATTGGCCTTTTGGACTGGCATCATAGCCTGGCGTGGAAGAGAAAATCACGCAATCAGAGCCTGGTGCATGAGGTCATTCGGTAGGCTGGGGCGGTGGGTTTATGACTGTTCAGCTGATGTGGCTCTTGATAGCGTTGGAAATACACTCGAGCGCCGTGCTGGTTCTTCCTCTTGACCATAGCCAAACCTCATTTTGTCCGATGGGCATCAAAATTCAGGAATCTCTCATGACATGACCTGGTGTTCGAATAATTCCCACGCTGCCGTATAATAGACAACCGATTGATACTACAAGTCGTAGTCGTAAGGAACAGTACCTGGAGCCGGTACCTCGCACTATAAATTTTGATGCCGGGTAATGTTGTAAATTGGGTTTCCTTTTTTTACTCTTCCATACGCCATGTGTAGCCCCCCCTCCCCTACATTAAGATCGAGGGTATTTTTATACTGGCCCAGACGAGTGATAATCTATGAATATGCGCTTCCTAAATCCTATGATGCAAAAGAATGGACCATTTGATAGGGTGCCGAGAACGATAGGGTAGCGAGAACCAACACTTCCCTTGGAGGAGATATGGTGCTTAACTTGAATGAGAAAGGCTGACCCATCAGGGAGAGCCGGTGATTCTCCCCACCCTATCATTCTCGGCACCCCGTCAAGTAGTCTATGGTTTGAGAACACGCCGCCCACAATTCACATTAAAATTTTAGACACTATAGAGACAGTAGAAGACAGTAAGAGACAGTGAGTTATGGAAAAAGGAAACAGCAGCCTATTCGGTCTGAGAGAAAACCGTCCTACGAAACTCCAATTGAAGAGAGGGAATAGTGAGAAACTTGGTAGTTCACAGCCAACTCAGGTGAACTCGAGCCATAGCAAGAACAGGTGTACGGTAATTGGGAGCCAGATGACAAAGAAGTTGAAGCCACATGGTTTCCATAGACATCTATGCCTGCCTGCCGGGAGCGGAGAACACTTCTACTTCATCCGTTACCTCTTTCTCGCAACACCCTCGATATCCATAGCTGATTTGCCCCGGATTCCTCCACCACCCTGTCGGAGAGGGCACGAAACTCGAGGTTTTGTTGAGATGCGTTCGGAGAAGCAATCCGGAGCACCTGAGGAAGTCGCTCTTGAATCTCGACTAGCGGGCCAGCCTGGGAGGGGTTGGGGGGCGGAGCGGGCGTCCGATTTGCTCCAGACTCGCCATTAGGAGCGGCCTGTGAAGAAGTGCCCTTGGGGCCACCTCTACAATTCATCCTCGCGGAAGGGGAGCGATATTTGGTGATGCCCACGTTGAGTTGCGGGCCCTTGTGTATATAGTGTGTGTTGATCAGAAGAACACAGAATACCTCCTCGAATGGTAGGAAACGCTTTGCTTAAATACAAGAGAACTGGGCTATGCTCGGCAGAAAAAATTATGAACAGAGATTCCCGCCGCCCCTTACCCGCACACACCACCACACGCCGGACTTATGTTCTGCCGTCAGCCCAGAGAGGTTTGTAACCCTAGTCACCTTACTCGTATTTAGTTCATAAATGCTGGTACTATTAAGTGAAAGTTTTTCGAGTCATTTTCCCGATTTTTTTCTACTGACAAGGCTGCAAAAACAACAGCTCCCTCCGCCCCAATGTGCAATCCCCAGTGCCACATCTTGGGTTAGCGTAGTTGAAATACGCTGTGATTTTTCACCCTCCTTTCTTCTCCCCTGGATTGTTAAAACTCCTCCACTTAGGCTGGGGGTCGAGCAATAGCGCTTTGCTTACAAGAATCGCGCGTCTTATCGCCTTATCAAGGAGGAAGTGAGATAACAGCATAGCGCCATGGCCTTCATGGAGGAAACGACAGGGTACCGTATTGTAGGGTCTTGGATCCACTCCTTTGAGAACAGTCAGTAATGGAAACCACTAGATGTATAGAAGCCTTGCAGGGGGGCCGCTTCCACGCGCTAACTGACATTTTAATATTATCATTATTATTTATTTCAACCCACTTGGCTCTAGGAACACGGAAGGCTTTCTGCTCCATCCTCAACATATCGTACCACCAAAATTCTTTAGAACACAGATCTCAGGGCTATGCGCTGGCATTTCCTGGTCAACCTCCCACAGCCTAGGTGTGTAGTTACGATCACGCACTCTTAGGGTTGTGTGGCAGAGCAATATTATAGTATAACAGTAATCCATCTCTGCCACAAAGGCGCATCATAACGGAAGTATTTTTCACGTCTCATTAAATGATCCGACATGCACCAGGGGCAACCCCACATATAAGAGGCTTCTACCTTGGTACAATGAGTTCGGGTGCAAACTACTACTAATCTTATGTTCCTCGCCCACGGGCGGCGTGTGGGGTATAGTAGTAGACGTCGCTTGGCACCTAGTGGCATACTCTTTCCCGGGTTCCCGGGATCCTCTTGTCAAGCGCTGTACGGCTTACTCGAACACTGTCACTACAGGCTAACCTTATTTTGCCGATGATCTGCGCTCCAACACACGTCCCCCGGTCTCAGAAAGGGACGGTGCGAAGAATTTGTCATATTAGAATCAGTGAGTGAGGTGAGGTGACAGATCTCAGTGCATTTGCTGGTGCAGAGTTGTGCGGAGGCGGTATCTAATACCACTACTTACCCCCGCTAGTTCGGACATTCGGAAAGCCCGGATCAGCCTTGAGTTACAGTACAGTACCATGCGGCAGATTATCAAGTAGTTGGTTTATTCTCGGTAGTTGCCAGACGCGGCTGCAGAGTGTCTCAAAAGCACAAGCACAACCGATATACAAGTATGTTATTAGATTAGATATTATGCAAAAAATTAGCGCCTTGGCATATATTTGTATGTGCTTACTGCCCAAGGAACTCAGCTTACTGTTCTCAACCAATGCTGGCTCGGTCAAAACAGGGGGTCTATACAATCAAGGGGTCAATTCTGAGAAGTTCTATAGAGGGTCTTTCTCAAAATAGTTAGTTGTTGCTGAGGTAGGTTCGCTCTTGGTCTTGGTTGTGGGTCGAATCAGACGCCCAGCACCTGAATCCTTACCCCCCCGGTTCCTTTGTACCCGAGTGACGAAGTGTGACGCTGAATATTTGAATGATACTCTGGTGCAAACCAAGCTCAATCCATACCTCCATTAAAAACGTTATAATGTGGACAAAATAAGCGCACCGGCCCGTATACGGGTGCTAGGGTAATCCTCGATATAAAAAACGCCACCCGTTACTACCTACACGGCTTTGGATCCATTATTCTACCCCACGGGGGCAGGGCATTGCAGAGAAGGCTTGGTAAACAGATCGGTCGACTCAATGACGTCCCCCAAGGAAAATTCCTCCGAAGAAATAACACAAACCGCCCATAAGCCGCCCTCCCCCCCCCACTTCACATTCTCCCTCCCTGCATTACTTCCCAACGATACGGCATCATCTTTACGGATAATTATATCATCCCTGGAAAGCAGAAATTTGCCCTTGCCCTCAAGGATGCCAACTCGCCCCATACTATATGCCAAGGGATGGTATGATATGATAAAAATTACTGAACACTATTCCACAAGAGGCGGTGTCGTTCTTTGGTATGGGGTAAGGTAAAAGGAAGATGAAAAGGTTCGCGCTGAGAGCTTTACGGGCTAAACATTATAATGAAACAGGGTTCTTGGGGCCAATTTTTTCTGGGGGCATAATGCATGCACAGCTCTGATATCACCAAACCCCCCTATCTACCACCCTCTCCCTTCCACCCTCTCCCTTCTTCCCACCGGTAGGGTGCTCTACCTCCCGCCAGCCTGCCTCGCAATCCTGTTGGCGCCGCTGGCCCTACCCGCAAGCCCCACTTCCAGCTTGTTCTGGAAAAGTGTCAAGTTGCCCTAGAGTTCTCTGAATCGTTCAATGTACCTCGGTGGGGAAAAAATGCAAGAGTACGAACAATCGCCGGAGTATCGTACCGCTCACGAACACCGCTCTCTGAACGCCTTGAGGTGCAAGAGTGCTCAGATATAGAGACACGACATTATTTCCCTTGAGGGCACTGGGTAAGGCTAATATGCTTCCAGAGGGAAGCGTATTAGTCTCAAGAGTTGCCCCCGTGTCGCGGGACTTTCCCGAGGAGGGAACGAATGCTACTCACCGTTGCCTAACTCATCTTGGCAAGAGATACAAGGAATAGATTTCCGAGAAATAACAAAATGATAAGAACGGTAACCGGACATGATAGAAGGCATACGGTACTGGAGAAAACCTTCTTCGAATAGAAAAACGACCTATTGCCAATATAACAGTACATACTGTTCCCCCACTGTTTATATTCCGAGGTGATGCAGTGAAGGTTCTCACCAGAAGCACCCTGCACCGGAAGCACCCTCCCACAAGAACAGGAGCGTTCAGCCCAAGCCATGAAGGCGATACAGACGTGCTCCGCGTCAAAGCGCATCAGATTTTTTTTGGCCATCCCGAGCAGAGCGCAGCAACAGCGCACCCCTCTGTGTGAATACGAGCGTGGGCTGTAAACCTTGAAGTCCCAAGAAAGATATACGTATCGTATGATAGATAGCATGGCTCGTCCAGTGATTTTAAAAATCGCGGACACACTGCTTGCTGCGCACACCAACCAGGAACCCACTCCAACTATTCACCACTCCTAACACCTCTCCCCCAACCAGCCCCTCACAGCTCAGCACTTTGTCCAGCATCTCGGCGCACTTCTTTTGCAAATACCATGCAGTCATCTCTCACTAACTGAGCGGCTTTTATCTTCAGAAGAAGGAGCCTAACATCGCCCTCAACCCACTGAACGCTCTACCCCGCCTCCTCACTCACGCTCTCCTCATGGAATCACACGTATAACAGGCATTTCAACTTTGCATGACGTCCCCACCAAGGCAGCCCTAGTTATGATCATTCAGAATTGTATCAGGGCCAGGTTGAGCGTAAAGTGGTATGATATCCACACATTCACTCAACACTTCGCTCGCCATCACCCCCCCCGCCCCAAAAGCCAAAGTCCCAAGCCCCCTCCGCAGCCTCTGCACTTCGATCTTCAGAAGAAAAGAAAACGCTATAGGGGAGCCTTTCATTCACTCGTTCGCTATTAACGGCGTCCCGAAAGGACATTTCCATCCGTCTTGTAAAATCTGAACACCAAAAAATCCCGAGAGC